ATGTTGAATATATCACACAAAGATAAGAGAGACATGTGTAATCGTGCATGTTTCCATATTTTTTCTTCATCATCAAATTTTATATCAAATTAGGAAAATAAACAAGTTTCTTCATAGGATCATAATACTGACTGTCGATATCTTGGCGTGTCTAGTATTTCATCTTAGTCACATATGGATACCTTTCCAATTTTTTTTCTCCTATAACCATAGGAATCCATCAATCATAGATTTTCCGTAAGAATACGTGGGTGTGGTCGGAAAAGATCATTATCCATCGTTTAACGATTGCAATGGAGTAGCCTACAGTGATCACAGTCGGTGGATAATTTATCCATTCATCATGATTTTATGTTTGCCTTCTTTGTTTCTCTGTCTGTTTTCTTTTGATATCTCTATCACATTTTCTTATTGCGTGTACAACATCCATTCGAATGGATTAGTTGTGTTGTTCGACAATGACTAGAAGCATTAGTCCTATTTGTAGGAATACTAATAGTTATCAGAAGAAAAAATAACTAAATCTATAGAAAAATAGATTTCAATTTGTATAATATATCAATCGTAAATAATCAAAGCGAATCAGTCAGCCAAGATAGAGTCAAAAAGTCATGATGTTGCTGATCATTTCCCTTCTCTTCCTTTTTCAACGGGTACCGCTAAATGACAAAATCGGCCTTCAGCAATAGTGACTTCATTTATTTTCTCTAAGCATACACAAATAGACATATTACAAAAAAAAGAAATTGCAATTTTAATGTTTTTCTAGGATGACAAAAAAAGAGAAACAGGAGAGAAAAAAGAAGAAAAATAGAGAAGTAAGATACAACTAACCATTTTTCTGATTTTTTGTTAACAAGACTGTTTGACTGTATCAAGATTCTTCTTTCCTTCGTTTTTTTTTCTTATATAGGTTTTCTTTTTTTTCTTCTTTTGTTTTATATATTTTTGATCAAATCAGTAACAATGCTGATTTGACTGCTTCTCAGAATTTCATATACAATGAAAGGGCATGACATTGGCATTCTCACACAAGCAGAGAAGCATCAACAGCAGTCAAACGGAACGGTAATAGTAATTGAAGATTAGACGATCTCTTTTCGTCAACATCGTCATTTTTCTCTCATTCTCTTTCTGGTTTTCTTTCTCTCTCTCTCTCTCTGTCTCTGTCTCTCTGTCTCTCTGTCTCTCTCTCTCTCTCATCGTTATATTCTACTCTACTCTCCATACGTCGAAACAACGGCGTTTGCTCCTCACGCATGATCGTCTCAAAATGAGACATGCTACATCATGGCGAAAGAATCAATCAGGAGATGACGCTTTCGGCAGACCGCTTGAAACTTCGACTACAACTTCTGACACCGTTCTGGCATTTCTATATTCATCGACAAAAACGACACAAACTATTCATATTAAATTTGAAACCAATCTTCATCATCAACGTGCAATCGAGCACATTATCTTCATCTTCATCATCATCATCATCATTTGCCAGAAGCATACTAATCATCTTCAACATCACGTCTCTTTCTTATCATTTATATATATATTTTTCTTTATTTGCTGTTCATTGTTCGTCATGCAACAACTATCGAATGATACTGGTTCGTGGAATATAATTGATTCTCCACTTCAAGCACCTTTATTTTATAATTCAAATGCATATGATACTTTATCAAATGGTGGTATAAAATTAAATGATTTTAATAATCCAATTATACCCATACCAATTGATCCATTACCATCATTAGTACCACAAACAGTGACTATTGAAGCAAATGCAGTTAATTATTGGGCATTTGCACTTATATTTTTTCCTCTATTTACAATATTTGGCAATGTACTTGTTGTCGTTAGCGTTTATCGTGAAAAATCTTTACATACCATAACAAATTATTTTGTTGTATCACTTGCCATATCCGATATAACTGTTGCTGCTGTTGTTATGCCATTCGCTATTTATTTAGAAGTAAGTAATAAAATGATTTAAAAGAAAAGGAAAATGATAATTAATTATGCTTAAATGATTTACATTTGTTTATTATTAATACAGTAATGAACAATTATAAGCATAGAGAATTGATTTCAAATAAATATTCTTAATTTAGATATACATTATTTATGCAAAAAATAAATTAAAGATAATTTCTCATGAAATTTAAAGAATTTAATATTGTTAACGGAAACTCTTTATGAATTTTGACGTATAATTATGAAGTTTTGTGGAATATTTTTGGTCAAGAATATAAATGTGTAAGAGAGAAAATGGTTAACGATATCCTGTAGAAAAGAAACGGATGTATCTATCGTCGTTATTGAAGTTGAGCTTTTCCCTATTGACTTCCGAGAGGTACATATATCTTTCACTTGAGTAACTTTCTTTTCTTCATAAATATCCATGCCAAAAGAAAACGTCTAGCATGAAGTTATATTTATTTCATTGTATAACAAAAGACTAATTTTCAGCTAAATTTCACACTTCAAGCAATTTTCACACGTATAAAATTTGACATAAAAGATTAAATTCAAAGAATTTTTTTAATTTTAGTTTAATCGAGTATGGGAATTATCTGAACGTTTATGTGATTTTTGGGTTGCTTCTGATTGTATGGCTTGTACAGCATCAATATTAAATTTAGTATGAAAAAAAAATATTCTTTTTCAAAATAACGTCATTAATTTTCTTTTTTTCAGGTTGCAATCGCAGTTGATCGGTAAAACAGTATTTTTTTTTTAAATTTTAGATGAATTTTTTTGTCCTTAATACTAGTTATATTGCCGTAACAAAACCACTTAAATATGCTCGACACAAAAATCCAAAACGCGTTGCCATTATGATTGTTATCGTATGGCTTGTTTCATTTTTTATTGCTTTACCAATTGTTAGGTAACAAAAATAAAATAAGATTATAGAACAAAACAAGAAGTTTTTGGTAAAAATTTTCATGTTTTAGTGGTGTAAATAAATCAGACGTGGCTGAATATCCACGTGTTCCCGAACAATGTGCATTTTTCAATAATAAGTTTCTTATTTTTTCATCACTTGGTTCATTTTTCATTCCATGTATTATTATATTTGCTATTTACTATCGAATATTTATGGTTATTATGGCACGTGCAAGAAAAAATCGTAAACAATGGAGACCTAAAGCTGCAATTGAATCAGCCGCTGCACAACATCGTTCAAATGCCAATCATTTAGTATCATCATTATTACAAGAACGACATAATCCAACTCATCCATCAATCATGATTGATACTCTCGTAAATATCACATCAACAGTACAAAATAAACCTAAAATTATAACAAATCCATCAGTATCTTTAGCAAATAATAATGAATGTAATACTTTAATGTTACAATTAGCAACACCTGCGTTAGCACCTGCGATGCGTCCATCAATAAATGTTACGTCGTCATCAGGTGATCCAGTAGATGATGACGAACGTGATGACATTGCTTTATTTGTTCATCATGAACAACAACAACAACAAAAAAAAACTAATAATAATAATAACAATAATAACAATAATAATAATAATCATCATCATCGTCATCATGAACATGAAAATCAAATTGAAATATTACCATCAACAACCATAAAATCAAATATTAAACCTGATAATCCTACTCCATTTATAACAACAACACGCAGTTCACAAACTGAAAATCATCATGATAGTCATCTTCCAGCTAAACATTTTAAAACACGCTTAAAAGACAAATCAAATTCTCATAATTCATCAATAACAACTAATATTACACAAACAAATAATACTAAAGTTGCTAAACGAAAAGCTTATTCTCGTATGAAAAAAGAACGTAAAGCAACACAAACACTTATAATCGTGCTAAGTATGTCTTTAAAAAAAATAAGTTCTTTCATTTCTTCTTTTTCTTTGTATTTTATTAATTTTGAGTATATTACTTAATTAAGCGTTAATATTTAACATACGGCAAAAAAGAACAATGTCAAGTTAAGTTGTTTGGAATCGACTCACTTTCTACCGAGGGAATGACGACTTTTATGTTTGTCATATTAATAAATTGAAAGAAAAGGAATAGAAAGAACGAAATATTATTAACTCATTTTGACTTAATTTATTTTCTTTTGTTTAGTCTGCTTTCTAGTATGTTGGTTACCATTCTTTGTGCTCAACAATTTAGTCAATGCTATTGTTAAATTATCTAATAAATCGAACACTTTATTAATTCATGATTTTACATTATCATTATGTGTATGGTTAGGATATGTAAATTCATTTTTAAATCCAATTATTTATACAATATTCAATCTTGAATTTCGTAAAGCATTTGCCAAAATTCTTTTTTCTCCATGTAGATTATCCAATCATTCATCTTCGTAATTGAAAACCGGTTCTCTCTCTTTTTTCTTCTTCTTTGTCTTGGTTTTTCTGTTCTCTTACTTGTTTATATGTTTGTTTTAAATCTATTGCACCACCGCATTTGTGATGTGTGTATGCGTTTTGTAGCTGGTAAATCCTATCTAACCGACTTTTTTTTATTTTTGAAAAAGAATAATATTAAACGAAAAAAAAAACAACGTTTTATATAATTATCTCAAGTCAAATACTAGATAAACAAGCTAAATTAAGTCAACGAGTACATACTATTTTCTTTTTTTGATTTGATTTGCCTTAAGTATAAAAGGAACACATATTGCTTTCTGTATTCTTTGTTCTTTTTTTTCATATGTCGATAGAATTCCATCAATTCTCAAGAGAAATCTTATTGCTTTCTTTGTAATAAAAACATCAGTGGAGAGCATGAATAGATTACTTGAGATTCTGTCGTGTGATTAGTACACTAGAATAACAATTGACTAAGGGACTAAGGAAGAAAGAAAAGACCAAAATTATTTTCAGTAATTTTTTTTTATTAAAAAACATTCAACAAGATATTAAGAAGAAACAAAAAGAAAAATAATATCTGAAGAGTCAATGTTCGTTGTACAACTGCTCTCCCAAGTTATTTAATATTACATTGACGGAACATGTTCAGACAGTAACGAATTACAAGGCGATGATGGAGATGATAACGATAAGTTCATTGTTGAACACGAACTAAACAAAAAAATTCATTCATGAATGCATAATAAATACTGGGAATTATCTGAACTTACGATTGATGCCATTGTGTCGAGCTTAAATAACCCGCATTATTATTCGTATTCCACAGGGGACTTGTGTTAGAACTGAAAGAATTCATCATAACTCTTAATTTTTAAATTATTTTGTATTTGAATAAAATCTTACTCATAAAAAGATGGAACATGAGGATTAGTCGAATACGATACTGCTGTTCGATTATCAACTATAGGAGATGGCCAGAAATATGATGGATAATAAGAAGTTGATGGATCATAAGATGGTGATGGATCAAACGATGGTGATGGTATTGGAACTGAATGCTGAAATAGAATAAATTTTATGAAATATGCTCGATTTTTTGGTTAAAAATAAACGTACTGTTATTTTTTTCGTTACATCATTTGATGATGATGTAGATTTAGGTTTCTGTTGTCTCTTGAAACGTGAACGTCGATTTTGAAACCAGATCTAAATCAATAAACCAAAATAACACTTTTAGGATTGATTAAGAAAAAAAAATTCTTACTGAAATTTTTTCATGTCGAACACCGAGAACTTCAGCAAGGTGATCAACAATTGTTACTTCTGGATAATGATTATTTTGAAAAGCTGTTTCTAATATGTGTAACTAATTCAATGTCAAATAAGATTACAACTATACAATTTACGATCATAAGAAGTCTTACTTGTTGAAGTGTATATTGAATTCTTGTACGCTTTACATATGGTAAACGTGGTTTATTGTCATCTAATGGTTTTTCCGACATTCTTAAATCTGACTCTGAAAAAAAATAGTTAAGAGAATATAAAATGATAAATATATATTTATTCGTATAAATACCTTGTGTATCTAATTCGTGTCGCATCGATACTGGTTGTGGTGAAGGAATACGTACAGGTGTTGGTGGCGTAGGTGTTCGAGATAGATAACCAGAATCAACAAATCGACTATTATTATTGTTATTATACATATCAAAGGATGAATGTGGTGATGTATTGACTAATTAATAACAAAAAAATTACGAAAAATTTTTGCTTTCTCTTTAAACTAACCTGAAATATTTGTATTGAATGAAACACTAACATTAGGTTGATATCCGTGAGGATCATAATACCAATATGGATTAACCGATGGTGGACCCGAATAACCAGACATACGTTGTAGTTCGTATTGTATGTCTCTAAAGGAAAAAATAGTTAAGTTAGAAAATGAACGTGAAAATCGAACTAATTGATCTTATATATCTGTTTGAGAATTTTTTTTTCGTTTCTTTTATTTGAATTCGACCAACAAAAAAAATTCTCCTTTTGAATTAAGAAAACATGAACCAATAATTCTTTATTGTGTTTTTCTTTTCGTCAATTTCTTTGCCTATTTTGAACATCATCAACAGCTTGAAAAGAAAAAAAGAAAGATATATCATTGAACGATGACGAAATTATGTGCTGGTGCAGCACAAACTGGAACAAATCAAACATTCGAGAGACTATATTAGAACATTTAAGAAAATGTGTTAAAAACAATTTTTTAATAACGGATTTTTTTTTGTTCAAATACTAGAGTAACAGTCGTTCTACAAAATCTATAGTTGGATTTATTCACATGAGATTTATCGATTCAAATCGATATATGATTGATAATCATTAATTTAACAGATAATCCTCTTTTCATGTCTTCTAATGATGATTCAATTTAAATTATTATAAATGAGAGCATGAAATAGATTCATTGACCGTTCCTAAAAATATTGTAACCGTTCAAGATTATGTTGAAATCGAACGAATTTTTTATACTGTATCGATGAGTACTTTATATAATGATTTCGGATCTTATTAAATTAGGACATAAACCGAAAGCATCAAAAGTTAAAAGTAGAAAATATCTGTAATTTAATTGATGAACTATCTGATCATGGAATCTTTCCAAATGTCAAATCGCTTGTCAATCGAGAGGTAGTTTATTTCACCAGTAGTAGAAAATTCGAGAATGGTTTGGTATTCGAGCTTTTCTTCTTGAGTTTTCGAAATTTTACTGGTAAAAAACTCTGTGGTCATGTGAAAACCCGACTTTCGTCTTTAAACTTCGCACGAATAGAGTTTTCAATGAGATTAGTTCATTGAACGAGTAGTAACTTCTCTAGTATCCCCTATCGTGAGGTATTGACAATTTTCTCATACATAAAAGCAATATGTTGCTATCTCCAGAAAGGAAATCGTAGAAAAGTTAAAACTTATACAATGAACTTATCTCATAAAAAACTTTATTCGTCCTTTTGGTCAGTAAAGTTTCGATAAGTCAACAGGTGAAGATGGGAAAATCAAACGATTTTAGACTTTTTTATTATTGATTCATACTCATCAAAAAAAACATCATTTAGATCAAAAGACGATATGACACTTAGAGAAATTTTCTCTTGAGAACTATGAATTAATTATTTTTACCGAAAGTCACGTAACCAAGTATTTAGAATTTTTAATAAATTGTTTTTTGTTTTCAGTAATCTTAGTACTACAAAAAAAAAACTTGAAAACAAATTGACACCCTTTTTTTCATATTATCAAATATGTCACATCTAACTCTATTACACTTCATTAGTCAAAGATGAACAATCATTCTAGTTGTTCGTTAATTGAAAATTTATCTGTGCTGCATTGACATAATAGCTTTTTTGTCAACAAGCTGTGTATCGATAGAAAAATTTTCTTTTATTGACGATTTTCATTAAGTTCAAATAGGAATACAATCTGGTGTACATGTATATATATATATATTTCGTCTTCATTTGTTCTTCTTTCTAATGAGTGTGAATCGCCGTTTGATGCTATGTATACTATGTCAATGATTGAAATACTCATTGTATATGTCGATGACTTTCTCAGCTTTATATATATGTTTATGTGAGAGAATTATAGATCATGATCATGATATAACTTTGTTGAAAGCAGCTATATTTTGAAAAGAAAAATAATGTATGATGCTACTAATGTTTCATGCTTTCAACATTTGTAAACAAAAATTACTATTCAAAAGATATATGTCTTTATTAGAATATGCATGCATAGAAAACATTAGTGAAAATTGTACTTTGATGTATCATTAATCAGTCTAAAGCAATGGACAGGATATGCTTTTATTATCTTTATGATTATTAATAAAGAAAAAAAAGAAAGGGAATTTTTTATTGGGAATATTTCAAAATTTTAAAAGATATATGTTTATGAGTCATTTTCCATGAGATTTAGTTCATATTATGAAAATTTGTTGATTTGTAAAAGATTTAAGAAATTATATTCAGAATGAAATACAAATAAGTGATTTTTAACCATGTACTCTATAAATGTGAAAAGGTTTTTCTTGGATGAGTTCTTTGATAGAGTAGACACAAATACAGAAAAGGAAATTATTTATTCATTATCACTGATGGAATCTCTTCATTAGTATCTGATACTGGTTGTTAATGCCCTACATTTACGAATTTATGAGTAAAAATAAATATATCTTTTGAAGTTATTGAGTATTTTTAGCTTATAATAGAAACTATGCCATTTCCCAGAGTACTTTATGAATTATTTGACACAGTGCCTTGATGTAATCATATTAAGTATGACAGAGAATCAAATTCTTGAGATAAGTAATTTGTAATGTGATCAATTTTCGAACGATATGCTTTTCTGTAACAGATATTATTGATTTGAGATATTTGCTTTATATTACATAAGTCAATATTATAGTCAAGTATTTAAAGTAATTGTAAAAAAAAAATATTCGTCTGCCTGATCTGTATGAATAGTTGCGTTTTAAGTAATAATTTATAATTTAGCTAAAAGGAAAAATTATTATTCATACAAACAGAAGTAAAAAAAAATTAATTTTTTTGTTATGATTTTTACACATCATAAATATTATTGTTGATTGTTTATAATGAGATACAAAGCCTCTATATAGTAACTCATTGTAAATATCCAGAGGAATATATCAAAAATTCAAAATTGAAAACTAAGAATGTATTTGTTGAAATGCAAGAAGAAGTTTTCAAGATCAAGCTAAACCAAGCTATTTATTTATTTATTTATAGGATGTATAGTTAGTTTTATAAATAACTCCACTGGAATGCAAACGATAACAACGTAAAAGAAGAATAATTTACCTTCAAGTTATTAATAGACTTCTTTTCTATTTTAAAGAAGCTTATTGCTTAAGCCTGCGTCGAGTTTCTTTAGTTGTTGCACTTTAAGTATGTCTACTATTGATAATTAGTTTATTATTAACATAAATTTTTGTTTCACTTTTACTGATTGGATTTTTTTATCAACTAAGAACAATAATGTTTATTTGTTATGTCATTTTTGTTTTAGACAATATTCAAAATTGGTTACATTAGAGAAAAGATTTCTTATTTACAAAAATTGTTAATATAACAGTCATCATATTTTTTTTGACTATATGTAAAATATGTTTTCATTATTCATTCTATTTCAAAAAATATATTTGCTCATATTCAAACGAATTTCTAATGAAAAATCCACAATTTTATTTTTATACTTAAAAATTCTTTTGTTAGATTTCATGCTTTGAGAATCCAAATTATCATTTGTGAAAAAATACAAGAAAATGATTTTCTTGCACATTCCGATTATGAAAAAGTTTCTTTGAGTAGAATAAAAACAAACAGTAGCTATTCAAAAAAATAACCATAACAATTCAGATAAAGAATGTCAGAAGGGAAGTTCCCGAACTATCCAATTGCTTTTGAGTCTAGATTATGTGCATTATGTGAATCCAAATGAGCTATGAATACTTTGAAAAGTGTTCGCACTCGTAACTAATTGTACAGACATATTGCACTTTTGCTGTATTTTTTAAATAAATGCTGTGGTTCTTTCAAGATTACTAGAAAAACTCATTGTGAAATTTCGACTTGAAACTTTGCATAGAGACAGGTCTTAAGGAGAATAGTGTATTGAGGATGTTTCAAGTCTTTTGATTTGCTTTCTATTCTGAAAGAAGAGCATCAAATCTGCTGGTTTATATGATTAATGTAAAAGACACACTATTACCACAATTGTATCTTAGGATAGGAACAGCGACAAAACATTGAACATTCACAAAAAGCTATTCTCGTTAAAGTCTGTCTTTATGAAAAGTTTCAAGTCGTTATTCGAATATCAGTATTGTTAGACTAAGGGATTTATTTAAAAATAGCATGAAAGTACAATATATCCGTAACAGTAAGCGAACGGTCCGAAATTTTTTCAGAATATTCATATCTTATTCGGGTCTACGTATTACACATAGTCTAAACTCAAAATCGATCGGACAGTAGGAGAACTTTCCTCATAAATGTACCTATCATTGTTTTCTTTCGGATACGACTACGTTTTTACAAATAGATTCAACTCAAATCGACAAATTTATTAATCATGCAGATATCAGTACAGAAAAACTTGTTTGATAAACAAAAAAAAATGAACCTAACAATACAGTTATTTTTTAAAGAAGATAATTTATAGGTCTTTTCTTGAAATTTTTGTTAGACTAATGAATAATTTATCATACTTCAACGATAAATGGGAACTTAATGACTCTAACATAGACCAGTTTTATACCGATTTTCACAACTTGACCATCGATCCGTTTGCTATCTACTTAATGCGAAGCGAAGTACCACATTTATGTTGACGTGTACGAGTTTTTTCTCAGTGTGCTACTTCCTCGATATAAACATCAATAGTTCGTATATCTTATCACGATGATCTTAAGGGGGGGGGGGGGGGGTGGGGGGGGGCCAAATGCTTTTTTAATAGGCCGATTAAAAAGAACAAAGTTTTTTATATATGTTCGAGATGTTTTAAATTGTTTTNCTTTTATTTTGTGGTCACAATTTGAGAAACATGAGGCCAACCCCAAGACCCATTTTTGACTAAAACCTAGATTTTCTGATATCTCATAACTCGGTCAAATTTGAACCAAAAGATGTAAAACTTTCAGAGTATATGTAAAAAACTTTGCTCTATTTAATGAGCCTATTAAAAGAGCATTTGGCTCGCCCCGACCCCCCCCCTTAAGTATTAACAATCAGAAAATATTCATTCGAATGCCAGAAGAAACTAACGAAGTTTTATCGACACCATCCATTTTCTGATCTGTGTACCAGGAGACTTCACAAATTTACAACGGCATTAGTAAAAAACGTAATGTTTTTTTAACTTTGTTTTCTTTTTCAAGCATTTATATAATAATCATGAAGACGAGAACGAAAATTGAATCAAATAGAGAGCCAAGCGATCAATCGTTAGTATCCATCAGAAACATGTTGATAGAGTTCTCATGGCGAAAGGTTTTGCAATGATTACTTATCAGCTTCTTTCTTTGTTTTGATCAGCTGACTGTTCTAGACGTAACTTTGCCGAATAGAGTGATAGAAAAGAAGTTCATTCTCGTCAGTTGTAAATATCTTTTCGAGTGAAACGATTTGCTCTTAATCGAACTAGAAACAATTATTCGTTTTTACGAGATATTGGTTTCTTGATATTCTCTATTCAGGGTTTCATAGTTACATTAATCCATTCGAATGAAACTCTTTCGCTTGATGTTATTTAGACTGACAAATCATCTATGTGAATTTGAGATATGTTGCTTTCATACATAACATTTTGAGTAGTTTTTTTCTACTATGTTCTCGTTTTAATAAAAAAAAAAAAAACAAATATTGACAAGAATTAATTTGCCTAAAATAGAAAAATGTAATTTTGTATTCACAGATGATACTTTAAGTTTAAAAGTTATATTTATCCCATTTTCTCGGTTCACTTAACACAAAAAAATAAGTCTATTTTTGGTTTTTATTGACGACCAATATTGCACATGTTGGATTTATTATACCCTTACACTTTGACACTCTTTCTTCTTTTTTTAACTTATGCCCATATCACGGCGTGGTAGACAAGAAGCATTTTAACACGTGAGTTCGTAATATAAAACGTGACGAGAAATGTGAATCACGTTGCATGCATTTAGTGAAACGACATCTGAATTTGAAGCAAACGTCAGAAAAATAAATTGCTATAAAAACATAAAATCAGACTGCATATTTACCTATATTTTATATTTATAGAAAAAAAATGAGTTTTACACAGACGATGGCACTACACTATAGTAACGTTTCAATAACAACTGGAGTAAGTGCAATGGACTTTGCATTTTTGCATGAGAATAATACAAACGCAAGATGTCGCTAAAACTAACTCCCTTATTTTAGTTGATCAGAAGAATTTAATATCATAAATAATCTAGATTAGTGATATATTTCATATGCTGTTAATACTAGCTTTTCAAAATGATTTTTATGCTAAGTGCAGTACGTGGTAAATTTTCAGTTCGACTCCGATTTGATGATTCATGCATGAAGGATTACTCGATATTTCAGTCAATCAGAGAGAAGAAAAGCAGAAGAAGAGAACTGTAATATATGCTAACGCAAACACACGTGATAATAAATAGAGAGAAAATGATGTACGCGTTCACTTCTTGCATAGTAGAGAGTGCATATTAACAGACGAAATTCAAAATAAACGTTTGATTATCATATTAACATTTGCAATGTCATCAACAGCTGAAATAATAAATTCAAACACTGGAATAGAGAGTGTTGAACAAAAGTAGATGATGTTTTTTCTTTTGTATATAACTGATCTTTTTCTTTATTTTAGTACATCTCAATCACCTATTCCGTCATTGGTTCCTATGACACACAGTGCACGAGAAATATTTGAATCTGTAAATATATAAAACTATAATTTTCTTTTTTGATTGAATATCTTGTTTTTAATTATTTTAGTATAGAAATATTATTGAAGCTAAGGCACAAAAATGTAAGTGTAAACATAAAGATTAATAAAATAATCAAAATGTTTATTGTTGTTCTTGTTTTTGAGATTATCCGATGCCGGCTACATTTCAAATGGTTCCTTTAAGAATGTCTATTATGGATATTGATGGAGTTAAAACATATTTTTTCAAGGTAATTATAAAAAATATTTCTTTACTTCAATTATTTATTCATTTTATAGGCTCGTGTTCCGAATAATAAATTTGTTAACGTACGTGTTAGATTATCTGGTAAAGCTGAATCTAGAGACAACCAAGTAGCTGTTGAGCCACGTGCTAATGGTGATGTCGAGGAAAACATTAGTAAAATGTTTTAGAAAATCAACATATCAGCTCAAAGAAAGATATCTATATATAGTTAGGGCGAATTGTATTCTTTTGTTTTCAACTTTTGTCTTTGTCTGATGTATGCAGTGTCAACCTATTTTTTAATTCATTTTGATTTTTTGTCACGTGCTCGTAGATTAAAAGACAACCTAGCATAAAAAAATAACAGGCATATATTTTACTCAATCTTTATCTAGATTGTAAGAATAAATATTGTTTTTGTAGATTATAATAAATAATTTCGCAAGATAAAATATAAAAAAAAAACAAGTACATCGAAGATATAATAACATAGATCTATTTTTCAATCATATACATGAATGCTACTAAGTTTTTATTATGTAATGGTGTATTGGATAACTAAATCTTCGGAATGTCACAGATTTACACGTTGGGACGTTTAATCATATTTAGGCTACATGTTTACTTTTCTTGTTCGTTAATTTATTGTTAGTTGTTGTATTTCTATTAGGGTCAAATAGTAGATTTAAGATCTCATTAAAACTAATGAGTCTTTATTGAGAAATTTTGAAAACGATCTTTTGAATTATAATATGTGTAAAAATTAATTTTGTGTCAAATGGAAGCTTATTTACTGTAGACATCGAAAAAACAATTCAATTTTTAATGCGAAGAATTTTCGTTGTCATAGAGATATACATAGATACTTAGTCATGTCGTGTAAAGATCGAAATTATCGAATTGATCTACGTCTGGTGCAAACGAGTCAAAACTGAGAAACGTGACATGTCTCATGTTGAAGCGATTGTATTTCTTTATCTTCCAAGTTCTCTGCTTGGAACAACGCTGCATAGATTATGTTTCTCGAGATTTGCTTCGACATCCATCTAATCGTGATTCTAAATGAGAATCATCTTGGCATTTATCAAATTTGATTTAATGCTTTTCTCTGTATATGACGAGTCTTTATTTTGATGTTTCTTGACGAATTTTAGTTCTAGACCTCCAGATTTACGAAGGAAATTCTTCTGTCAATATATACTACAAAATATTCTAATTAAAATGTCAAAGGATTTGAGTTCCTATTTGAAATTAAGCTAAACTATCGAATTTTGATGTGAAACTTTGTGCACATAGAGAATTCAACCTGACTAACTTTCATAAAAAGATTTAGAAGTTTTGAACAAAGTCTCTTCAAGATAAACAGCTTTTAAAAAATGTATGTTGTATATACTATCCATGGAAAATCTTTGAAATAGATTTTGTACTCTTCCTATATTGTTTACGAAAAATTTCTTCATCCAGACGTTTCGGCAATCACAAGACTACCTGTTTTAATGCCGAAAATACAGCAACAACAACAAAAACAACTATACATAGATTTATTTCTTTTCTTTCTAATACCGATATGGAAACAATACGGTAAACTGGACAAGAAATGACAACTCTTCGTCATGTTCTTTTCCAGTAGTAGTATTAGAAAGGAAAGAAAAAAAAATTACATAGTTGTGTTTGTTGTTGTTGTAATTTCAGCATTGCAGAAGGTAGTCAGATGATTACTGAAACGTCTGGATAAAGAAGTTTTTTTGTAAAGAATATAGAAAGAGTACAAAATCTATTTCAAAGATTTTCCATGGATAGTATATACCATATGCATTTGATGAAAGCTGCATATCTCGAAGAGACTTTTTCAAAGCTTCTAAATATTTACATGGAACCTAGTCTAATTGAGTTCTCTATATGTACAAAATTTCAAATCAAAATTCGAAAATAAGATTTTTTCAAAAATCTGAGATCTCTAGAAAATAGACATATTAAATATATGATAGCTGAGTCAAAATCCAAATGCTTTCAAGATTTTTATTAGAACTTAATATAGTATCGATAGGAAAAAATTATTGAAACCAGAAAGAGGCATGCGAAAAGCATTTCTCGATAGCCAAAGGCAAGAAAGGATTAAAATTAAAATGACTAACAAATCCAGGCTGTCTATTATAAATGAAAAACATCTGTCATTTGTCAAAAACGTTATAAAAAACAGGTGGCCATAACGATCACATGTCTCATGCAGGAGAAAGTGACAGGCAACTGTCAATGCATATTGAATGAGTATATACGATGATTACAAACGTTCAAAGAAAAAAGAGTTCATTTTCTATAAAATTATCGATATACTGAGAAAATTAAAAGTTTCTTTTTTAATCCTTTCAGAACGGGTGACGTATATATGTGTTTCCAGTTACAGAGTAGTTCAGATCTATTGGTGTGTACTACTTATTCTTGATCTAACAGGCATGGCTCTTTGATTTGGAACGAGTGACAAACATATGATCTGTATGGGTTTTTGAAAGAACAATAGCGCTGATTAGAAATGAAAATGAATTAATTTTAACTAATTCCATGTTTCATTATTTTGCTTTCAAAAAAAAGAATCTCGTCCTGTAACCGTTAAAATCAAACTCATTAAACAGCCTAATTGGTTTCTAAATTAATCAAATTTTGTTTTTGGTTGGAGTAAGTAATTTCTGAACTAGAAACTCTGTACCACATATTTTCTTTCCGATTCAATGTGAGAGTAATGAAGCAAATTTCAACAGAAACAAAAATATATGACAATATTGTCTATTAAAACTCTATCAATATTACCTATTCTTGACTTGTTACTTAGAATGATTTGAAAAAAGTTTATACAACGAATTCTTTTGCCAGAATATCACTGATCATTTCCAGAAAACATTCCATGAATTTGATTCTTTTGCATTATTTGCTCGAGCTATGTCTAGATATTGAAACTTAACAGGAAAAAAATGCAAAGAAACTTTTTTTTGCTGTTGCGAAGTACTCAAGGAGTCAGCATGGCAAACGTATTCAATCTCGTTCACAAAAAGCAATTTTTTATTATAAAAATCAAAAGTAAATTTACCTAGTTATAGATGCATAATTGAAAAGAGAACTCTTCAGGCTATAAAATTCATCATGTTTTTTTTCTATTCTTTTCTGATATAAAAAAATTCACAGAAATTAGAAATTAATGTTGCTTAAAGTTTAATTTGCAAGAAATGTTTTACAAGTGTCTAATTTCTCTTTCTCAAATTGCCGCTGAAACAAAATATGTGTTACAAAATTGGCAGTTGATAATTTACTTTTTCCCAAGTAAAAAAAACCTTTGATAAATTTAGAAGCCGTCTATGCGATTTAATAAAGTTCGATATTCTTTGTATAGACTTTTGCATTTCATGCTAATCCAGACTATAGATTAAAACAACAAAAATAGAACAGAATGAAAACTGTTCTTTAACAGCATCAGCATAAATCTCATACTTGTGAATATAAATAGGGGTATCCTGAGGTCATCAAGATTGTGGGATCGATTCTGATAGGTTATCATTTACCACAAATCGTGTTACCCTAAATCTATCCCTAAATTCAATCCACATTTTTCGAACTTAAGAAAGATGCTACAATGCATCTGGTGACCAGACTGTATTCTGGATTTTAATGAAACATTTCTTGACATTTAACAAGAGAAGTTCTTGTTCCGACAGTTGGTCTATGTACATCTTGGGTGTGGATGTGGGTGAGATGTGAGTGTAGGTGTGAATGAAAGAGAAAGCAACCTTCACACCCACACCCCAGTTCATCCTAGAAGATTCGAGGTAGTAACCAATTGATTATTCAACAGATGTATCTGATGACCAGGTCATTCTAGATGCCTTATTATAGTTACCTGCTGATTTTTGAATGATCTGAGCTGATAACCAGTTTATTGTCAAACTGAAGAATCTGATCGTGTCTTCTCATTTGCGAACACAAAATCGAAATTCAAAATCTCTTAAATTCAATTTCAGTTGTTCTTTAAAGTTAATTTATTCAAATTGAAAGCAATCTTAGGTCTCAAATTTTCGGTTTTCAAATTTCAAAAACATTACTGACAACAATTTTAATACGACTTAAACTTTCAGTTATATTTTTAGACTTGCTGAAATTTATAGAGTTTGTTAAAGATTGAGTTTCATTATTTCAATTTAACTCGCTATAATTTGTAGAATGCGCTAAAATATAGTAACGCTTTTTTATTCTTAAATAGGCCATTGATTGGAACTTGTTGTTCCTTCATAGTTAATTATTGTTTGAATTAGTGGTCTTGAAACAATTGGTTGTTTAGTAAAACATGAATAACCAGCATTTTTTTTCTTGTTCTTGGACTCAAAAATAATAATAATAATAACTTTATTAGGATAAAACAAATACATTATTAGGCTGAGCTGAACCAAAGCAAGCTGATCAAGTCCATGGACTACTCGTCTAATTGGATTAGATAAATTTTTAATACATGAATGAACCAACACATTTCAAGTACCAGTAGTTGATGTATCAATATATATATTCGGTAACATATTTTTGATAACTTGCAAAATCTTCAACTATCTCGAATTCACTTGCATTAATTTGGTTTAGAACTTTTCAACATAAAAATATGTTTGCTTTTTTGTTTTTAATAAGAGTATCTGGCAATGGTTGTTGTTTCAAAAGAAATTTAATCCATTTGAATGTATCTTGCGTTGTGTATGATTATGAGGCAGCATCGATAATTCAAGATAAAGTGTTAACAAAAATCGATGGTTGATGAGGTCAGTAGGAATAGAATCAGAATTAGAAAAAGTAATTGTTGATGAACTAGGAGAGCTAAGCAAGAACATCTTGTTGAATATTAAGAAAGTTTTGATTTTTTTCTCTTTTTTTTCTCTATATATCAGCTGTTGAGTGCAGAAATGTTTTAGCCAATGGAAGAATAACATTCAAGTTTTGAAAGAAAATTTCGTCGAAATACTTTGCATCGTTCAAAAATTTGATATTTTATTCCAAGTTCGACCAATGAACATCCATCGCAATATCGAATTAGTTCATTGAGATCTCTGATGTATATATATATATATGAGTGAATTGCAAAATTATTGTACAGTTCTGCGACAAAAATTGAGAAAAAAAATTTTTGATTTTGAAAACGGTGATTAGTGCATTCTATAGTACTGTATGAGAGGAGGATATGAATGAATTTTCTCGACTACCACTATCAAATTGGCCAAGATACGAGAGTTTTTCTAAAAATATTGCTTAAATTTAAGGTCAAATGACTTTGATAGTACATTCGATCGTTGAATTTTTCGATGGTATTTTAGATCTTAAAAATGACTCTTTTCTTTTTCGATAAGAAACCATGTTCAATGTGGAAGTAGTGACTGAAAAAGCGTGATTTGGTCTAAACTATATGTGGTTTTTACACTATACAACGATAAAATATGTCAATATGCAGCAAATCAGAGAATGTTTATAATTAGTTACTTTTTTTTGTGAACTTATTAACGTGTAAGACACAATCTAGGGTTAATTCGCATGCCTCTTGATAATCGCCTCCAATATGGAACAAAGTAATATATAATATGTATAGTTTGGTTTTTTGTTTTAAAGTAGCTATGTACATAATAATCTCGCGTGACACATTAATACTAATTTTCCTTTTTCTCATGAACTATAGATTTTCCGAGGCTGATATTTTTAGTGGTAGTTGGTCATAATGAGCGGATAAAATGATCCAAATTTCATCTCATACTGCTATACTTTAAGAGAGTTATACGCCAAACAAAGTAAAAAATTTCGCATGGTATTTAGCGTGACAACCCAATTTTCAAGGTGGTATTTCATATTGTTTATTAACAAGAATTAGTACAATTTTTTCATTGTCTTTAGCGGCTGTATTTTCCATTAATTGACTTTCATTCAACACCAATCTGATCGATTTTAAATGAGTTGTTAAGCAGTAAGGTCGTTTTTTAATCTCGTGTGACACCAAATCGCAGAATGACTGGTGCATCTGATACTTAAAAAAAAGTATAATAAGAACCACGATGAAAAAACCAACCAATCTCATATCTGAGAAGCATAGATTGTGTACAAAAAACTTCGCAAAATTCTGAAGTTCAATTAAGAAGAAATCAATCGGTTATAGGACTTTTTTCCCTATAGGCGACAGTAAAAATCGATCTATTATACGTTGTGCATCCAATATCTCTAGATTACTTCAAGATAATCTTGTAATTTTTTGTATGGCAGTGAAGACTTCTTAGAAAAACCTAACCTGAAAAAAATCATAGAAATTGATTGAGAAGAACTCGAGATATTGAAATTTTACACATAGGAATATAACAGTATAATAATTTTGCAATTCATTCATATATATCCTATAGAAACTAAATCGCTCTTTGTTGTTAAAATCTAGATATAATGAATATCCGGTGACAGTGACCTACTTTTTCATATAGTATATCTTATTATTTAATATTAATCTATGATTGCCTGCATCGATATATTTTTGTTCTATTGATATTTCTCAGACTAGTGAAAAAAGTATTAAACTATTGTTTTTCAATAGAAAGTATGGTAGAGTAATAAAATGTGTTTGAATATGTTCTTGTGTTCACGTTCGAGTAGAGAAGAAGCTAAAAAATAGAGAATTTCCTACAAATTTTTATTGATATGTTCTTTTCAAAGAGACCATTTGCATTCTTGCTGCTTTATCAGAAGCGTTGAAAGCATTTTTATCATGGATGTATAAACAGAATATAATCCTTTACAAAACAGGAAGATATGCTGCTAAAGGTTTTCTTATTTACAATACAAGCAGTTTCATCTTGTTCCATATTGCAATCATCAAAGAATTACACCAGACGGTTTTTCTTAAGCATAGTTACTAAAAATCCGCTTCATATTATATCGGTTGTGACAAACGCTCTCGTTCTTAGTGAGCAAATTCTTTATTTGTATGATAAAAAAGGAAACTTTCTAAATTTTGAAAATTCATGCCATATTAATTGAATAGCTATGAAATGAATCAAGACAACTAAAAATTTACAATATTTATTCAATAATTCAATGTTGCATTGTAAAAAAAAACAAAGTATATTGTTCAATAATACTTGATTATATGTAGTCAAGCAAAATATTCCGATAACCATAAGCTGATCTAATTCGAAATCCAAAATAAATATCCGATAATTCGAATACTTTTATTTTATCCATTGTTTCATTAAACCATTTAGTATTCCCATGTAATAAATAGTTTGATTCAAACAAATTAAAATTCATTTTTTTTTTCAATTACATTCGCAATCAAGACCATGATCAGCTAATGTATAAAAATAACATTCTACACTTTTTTTCTACTTCATGATCTTTACTACAACATTCATTATAGTATGTTAAATATTCATTGTTCTTATCCAGTTTAATACGAAATATAATTCCATACATTCCAGTTAATATTGATTTAAATTTACCTTTTATACCAGCTAAATACACGGATTGAATTGAATCTTAACGGACACATCGACCTGTTAAACTATTTAAATCATATTCATGTTTTAGACATGTTAGATTGGGACAACATCTATGATGTGGTGTACAACGTAGATCTATTGCAAGCAAATTAACACCTAATAAACGTTTACATTCAATTAAATAATAATAAATTGATATATATATTGATATTTGTAGAATATTTTCTTTATTTAAACATTTATTTTTATTTAAATAAGATTCAAAGAATTCTTCAATTGTTAAAGACATTTTTAATTTATTTATACGTGAAAGTCGTTTTTGTTTAACTATACTTTTATGAGCTATATAACCATCACTATTATCTTTACTATTTAATGCATTCATTAGCCAAATATTACACATTTCGAACTCTAAATGTATTCGAAAATATTTTTCGAATTTTTTTGTATCGTCTTTTGTGTGAAATAAAACATAATGAGAATTTTTCTTGTTTTGAAATATTTCATTAACATAATGCTGATATAATTTCGATCCAAAATAATTTTGAATTAATGTCATCCAAAAATAATTATCTTTTGCGATTAATATATATAATTGTTTGCATACTTTTGATAAGTTTATAATATCAATGAAAGACAAATATTTACATATATTAAATCAGATCGCCTGTCTTCAAACTCGAACCTGCTCATATATACATTGATACCTTAAACTTGGTTAAAGTACAATATCAACTTTTTTGTACTTTCTATACATTTCAAATCACTGGTGTTTTTAATGCTTAGCACAAAACAAGACCTAGGTGGTTCAACCCCTGGTCAAAACCAACAACAAGTACGAATGATCATCCAATGACAATCATTACAAGTTATGCAATCGATTATTAATAACTTTGCTAACCCGTATCATTTGCAACTAGTTCAATATTAAAGCATAAGCATTTTCTTGAAATTAAACTTATCTTAGAAATGTATTTTCTTATCAATAGATATTGACAATCAAACGGAATAATGCTTATAGATCACAACTTCAACCAGTTTTCAATAACTTTACGACTGCAGCAGGCTGTGGTCTACATGTTCAACAAAAAACTGTTCGTTCTATGTTAAGAACAGTAAATAATAATTACAATCTACAAAAATCAGTGATTATAGCAATCAATAATTTGAAGCTCTACGAAACAAGTTAGCTTTTATATCAAAAAAATACTTTACAGCCATCAGTGCAAATATTTGATAATTATTTATATAGTCACTGATAAATAAATTGTTTCCCAGTTTAAAAATACTTGAACATTATTTATCAGTTTTTTCAAGATTTTATTGTTCTGTAGTTTGTTTTTATAGTAAAGATATATCGAAAAAAAAAACAAAAGCCTAAACGAAAGCTAAACAAAAACATATTTACAAAAGCAAAAAGAAAACGAAACAAGAGTAACTAGATCATAGAAAATGTTTAAAATGTTTAGATTTTGAAATATCAATCTCAAAAATGATTTTCAAGTTTTGTATTTTGTACGAAATCAATACCTAAACGATGAAGTGTTTGTTGAAGATTTTCCCCTTGAAACAATAAGAGTATTTATATATAAATAATATTAATTCTCATTTAAATAGTACTACCTGAATTCATATAAAATGGTGTAATATTTTCTTCTACTAAAACATCTTCTTCTTGACCATTTTCATCCATATGAATAGGTGATATTGATGATCCTTGAATAATTTCTTCGTCTTCTTGTTCTACATGTTGAATATTTTCTTCTATTTGTTCGTTATGTTCATTATTATTTTGTTCTTGTTGATTCTCATCTGTTGTTGGTAATTCATAATCTGTATCTGTAGCCACATTATTTGTCGTTGTTGAAATAAAAGATCCTGGTGGATTCTAAATAATTATAATCAAATGAAAAAAAGAATTATTATTTAACAAAAATTATTTTACAAGATCTTCAATAACACCAATAGCTCGAGCTTGTTCTATGACAAGATTAGGATCATATAATTGTGAACCATAACGCTTTAAATATGTTTGTGGATCTTCACGAATAACATTTTGTTTTTGAAAATTTCGAACAATTTTTGCTTGAACTGGTTCATAGCTAAAAAAATAAGAATAAATATCATGTTTTTTAGAAAATAAAAAACATACGTTATAATAACATTTTTTGGTTTTGAACGTTCTTTAGAAGATTTTGGTACACGTTGTACAATAACTTTACGTTTTTGATTAACTATTTCGTACGGTAACCAACGTTCAATAATAATATCACGTGGTTTAGGTGGTAATGGTGGTAAACGTTCAATAATAACAGCTCGTGGTGAAGCTGGTTCAGGTGGTAATTGTCTAGAAATTGTTTTTTTCAAAACAACATATTGAAAGATTTGTCATTTTCTATTTACCGTGTTATCACTTTTGTTGCAAGTGTTGATGGAAGTGGTGGCGGTTTCTCCCGAATAATAAGTGGTGGCGGCGTTTTTGGTGGAGTTGGACGTTCTAAAAGAAAAGATGAAATTACAAAAAAACAAAACAAAAGTAAATCAATCAATTTACGTTTAATAACAAGTGGTGGAAGTGGCGAAGGTTGTGGAGCACGTACCTAAAAGCAAACAAGATTGATTTATTGCAATGAATCTTTCTTTTTTCTCTTTTTTTTTAAATCTACTTCTTTGATAATAAGTGGACCAGCATTAGGAATTGGTGGTGGTTGTAAAAATCGAACAATTATATTTTGTTTATAAGTTACAGAATGAGAACCTTTACGTTGAATTATTTGAGGATTTGGATCATAAAAAATTTGACCAGGAGAAGCTAAAGATTTTTCTATTAATAAAAAATAAAAAAAGGCAACATGATGATTTACTTGAATTATCTTGATCAGTATCGTTATTATTTAATGGTAATGATGAATTAATATCTTCTTTGTCAGTAATTAAATTCATTGTTGATGTATTTTTTGTTTCATTAGGAATTTCTTCAGTTATTAATTGATTTTCATTTGAATTAACAGCTTCAATTGGTAGTGTATCTAATTGTGGTGTTGTACGAATATTTAAACCAAGATTTGGTACATTTGTTGTTGTTGATGGTGGAATTGTGTGATATTCTTGTTGTTGTTGTTGTTGTTGTTGTTGTTGATGATGATGAAGATTTTCAAGTAACATATCAGGATTAATTGATGAGACATTTGATGTTCTACGTGTTGATTTATTATTTGATATTTGATGTTTTGTACTTAGCTGTGTTATACCATCATAATTATCAAAAGGTGATAGAAAACTTCGTGGCATTGTATTATATAAACCTGCACTATAATAATCAAAATTACTTGATTGTGCCATTGGTAAGGCAGATGACATTGAATTTAAATCAATATTTTCATCGAAATTTGTTAAGTCACCCATACTAAACATTTCTGGTATTGGATAAAAAAGTGGTGTTTGATCTTGATTAAAAAAATTATTGTCAGATGGTAACAATTGAGATTCAAATGATGTTATGGTTTCCGTTGGTTGTGGTATATAATTACCCGCTGTACCGAATATTCCACCAGTAGCAGCTTTATTAACTTCATCAAGGATACGTTGAATTGTTGGATCTTCCAATAAAGCCATGAGCAAAAGTAAAAACAATAAGATCAATTCGATTTTGATAAAAGAGATGAAATGATGACACGTCTATTAACCTTTACTATTTATATTACTTCTTACAATGTGTCTCACACGCAAAAAGAAAAGATGTGAATATGAATACATGGATGTGAGCATAACGTTCGTTGGTCTAACAACTAATCATTCAACCGTGGTAGATATGTATTTGATATGAGATGACAGATTCTTTTTTTTTTGTAGGTCATTAATGGTTAATAGTTCACGCCTATTAATCGTCAACATTTAATTTTTGATAATAAACGAAAGCAGTAAATGTGTCTGTTCTTCTTCTCTGTGAAATTAAACTAATGATAACCAATATTAACTAAATTTTACTTCTGTCCATTAAAAAAAAACTTTCCCCAACCTCAATTTATCATTTATTTGTTTGAGAATACTTCATATACATTCATAATAGATTCATTTATAAATCCAAAGACAATTCAGTATAATTGTTTGAGGGGGAAAAAGAAGATGAAGTAAATATAGTACTATAATCTCACTTGTTCGTTTATTTTTTTTTTCAATTTTATTGATTATTCACACGATTGAAGAGGCAGAATAATAACATATATTATATTCAGTCAATATAGATCATAAGTAATATTGTGTACAGTGAAAATATATTTATGTTTCTTTTGATTACAATCGAGATGAATCGATAGATTACAATCTTTCATTAACTCTTTGTGACATATAACAAATAGATTATCATGAAAGATAGCTTATTTCTTTTTTTAAATATTTTGATAACGGTTCATATATATCACTGTTTGAGTAGTCCATAATTCGGTTCGAGCCTGTTTGCGTCCGATTCGATGATTTCTCACTTAAGTCCGTTCGTTTCTTTGTCATTCTAAATTCAAAATAACAGATTGCAATGCACTTGTACTCAATTATCAAGGTTTATAATTACTAGTAGTTCAATGTGACGAAATCGTAAAAATGAAATTTGTTAAGAAGTATGAGCAAACAATTTAATAGTTTTCATAAAGTGTATATAGCATGCCTGTGGACTATAAATGTTGATAACTTTTGTATCTATTCTTTATTATAAAAGTTATTCTCTTATCTATTAAATATAATCGTGAACTGTTGTAATTGATAATATTAGGACCGAAATCCTCGAATGGAACCTCGAATATAAACGGGTATACCTTACGGTAGTTTCATTGCAAAATTAATACATATGAATTTTTGTATTTATAATATTCTTTTTAATGATTATTTTAATATTCGAACAAATCTATTTCATAACATAGTAATGCGATATTGAATATCATATTATGTTACATATAGTTATACATATATTCAGACATTAAGAACATACTATAATTATGTATGTGATATGACGAGACGATGTAGCAGATCAGTCTTATGTTTTAGAGAGAAAAAACAAGACGAAAATTTGATGATCTTCATTATAATTCGAAAAAAATGTTCGATGGCAATATGTAACATATGTATATAATATGATGCATTCATATGATAATGACTATTTCATTATGATAAAAATTTATCATACGTAAATTTCTTTTTATAAAATATGTGAAAACATAAAATTTTTTTAATGAGTAAAAATAAAATCTAATTAATAAAAAGAAGTGAAAAATTTTTTTTTTTTTTCAATTGGGTCGATGTATTATCTATTTTTTAACTATAGAATGAAATAATAAAAGTTATCTATTCATATATTTATGCACTTTTGTCTATGAACTAAGCAAACTTTTAAAAAATAATGTGTGAGTAAAGATTTATATTTTTTTATTTAAATATTTCATTAACATTTTGATTGATTGTAACGAACATTTCATGTTAAACTTGTCAAAGATAATCATGATATATTTTTCTTTTGTTGTCAACTAGGGAAATATTCATAGGTGAAAAGATAAAGACACGACAACAGGCAATTATAAATCAAATAGATAAGACATCATTCATTGCAATAAATAATGATGTATTGCTTTGATTCATATCAACGTTCAAATATTTGAATTTTAAAATTAATATTTTTTTTTCGATTGAATTCTGTTTCTTTTTCTTTATTTTCTAAAAGGTTTTATCTGAAAATTAAATTTAAGAAGCTATATACATAAGATTTGATGATATCTCTATGGCCTTCACTAAAATCTAATAGATTCATATTTAATGATATTTTTTATATTGAATTTAAGAATTCAATGGTACTCGGTTTCAATAAATTTAAAGAAAACATACTAAATCAATAAAATATATAAAGGAAAATACAATATATCTGAATTTTAATTTTTAGATTCATATATTTGTACGAACTAATTACATACTTTGACTGTGATATGTTTCATCTTGCTTGGTTATCATGTTTTGTCAAAGTTACTAGAATAATAACATTTCTTATAATATTCCTGATCCCGATAAGGGTTTCTTTTGTTTGAGCTACTTTTATTAGAAAATTTGCTTTTTGATTTTGCTTGAGTATACTGATCTTTTTAATCTTTGTACAGATGTTGATAAAGAATGATTTGGTCGTTAAGCTATTCGTATAATACATGAACAAATAGATGATGACAAAGATGGATTAATGCAATCGTCACAAATCACTGATGTAAGGTTTTAATTTATTAATTATTGAATACATTTTGTTTTTTTTTTAATTTAATTTTATTAAATGAACGATTTCAAAATGTTAATGTACATATTACATATGATGGTTTATCGACATAATGGGAAAATAATCAAGGTTCTTTTTTCTAATTCAAATAAAATAATTATCAGGAAGAATTTGCTTATTCGTTTGTCTATAATTCACAATTGAACAACAGATAATGTGATCGATGGGCTTATTAATTCGGTTCATTTGCCACAATATGTGGAAAATTTTCGTTGTAATCAATCTGATGGTCTAATGATACCAAGGTAAATACAAAGAAAAAAAAACTCATACTTGTTTTCTTATATGGATTTATTCAAATATTTTAATTATTCTAGATTGGCAGCTAATGAAAAACAATATATTTCATCGATAATGCATATTCGAGATGTACGCGATAAACAACAACTTATTATTAAAGCAATTGGTGTCATTTTGTTTGGACCTCAACAAAGTTAGTATTCGAATTTTATTAGAAAGTTTTCTAATAAATTCTACACTTCCTATCAATAAAAACAATAAAGCTAAATGAGCTTTAAAAAGAACAGATCTTTCTTCTAGAGTTATCATATAGATTTTCGGTCTACATAAAAATGATTAGGAAAAAAACCTGTACTTGAACTTTAATCATAAGTAGATTTCATTTCAAAATAATGAATTATATAGAATATGTTTAAAACATATGATCTAATGTTCGCATCAAAATTAAAGAGAAGTGGATGTAAGCTTAACAACTCAACAACGGCAACAGCTAGTGATCTGTGATTTTTAACAATCGAACAAAAAGAGAACATCAAACATTCTTTTGTCTGATAGTATATAAGACAAAATTATGTCATAACCCATCCTTTTCACTAAACTCCATTTTCGATTGTTGAAAACCGGAGCTCACTAACTACTACCATTATAGAATAATTGAGCTTACACCTACCTCTCTTTAATTCTGTCGAGTAAATTACTTATGAGCCACATTTTAGATCAACAGTTTTTTTTCTCAATGCTTTGATACCAATCAATACCCAGAATCTATTTCAATCGACTTATACTATTACGTAAAAGCCATTATGCACTAGACAATTAAAAATCCGTTTCCTCTTTGTTTTGCCAGACATTGTTATCAATGAAATGTTAAAGTTTCTTTGCAGAACGTAGGACTTGAAATGTTTATCATTCATTTTTCTTTATCTATGGATATACTTTACAATTAGAATTTTCATCTTATATTAGAATCCAAAATAGACCAGTTTCTGAAATGCATCAAAACGAAAGACATACTGTTGAAATAATGTGCGATCTAAAAGTAATTGCCAAAATCTCGACCAATGCTTTGCCGCTCGAAAACATCTTAGAGAGTATAAAATCTTTTTCATTTTGAATGAGCAAAGTCTGAGCCTAAAGAAACAAGAAAAAGAAACATTTTTGAGATTGAATTTAAATGAGAAAAAATTTTTATACCACAAGTCATCAAAACAGTTCTTGCAACTTCTGTCTTCTTCCAATGTATTTCTCTCATCTAGCAACAAGACAACGTCACACCTCATGCACATCACGAGACATTGGCATGGTATGGAGAGAATTCCATGCATTTCATAAGCAGTCGCAATGAATCAGTCCCAATTTCAATATTCTGAATTAATTATGTGTGAAACGCTATCGCCAATAGTATGCAGTATAGTAAAGTTAAGAGCTGTGATTTATTAATTGATTAAATAAGAAAAGGAATTTATCATGTACCAGAAAAAAACCATATAAAGTAAGCTTTGTGTTGTAGATTGTAGAATATTTCACGCTGCATCATGCAGATATCCCTTTCCAGCCGGCTCCCAGAAGGCAGACAGCAAATAAATATTGTCTTGCATATTTTTTATTGCTCTACCATAGTGGTACCAAAAATACATTTTTCAGAATAAAAAAAGTCATTTTTGTATCCAATGGCTATATGTTGCCATTTGGCATCATCCGGCTGTAACGGATCAAACTGGTTGAAAAAATTTTTTTTCGATCTCGATTATAAAAATGTATTATTCAGTACCTCTTCGTTTATTAAAACCACTTAAACATGAAAAGAATGACTCAAACATAGATAGAGGGCCTTCACGCAACTTTTTCAAAATTTAAATTTCGTTTTTAGTGACAAACCTCCAGTGCACGAAACTTGCAGTTTTCCAGAAAGGACATAGAAAACAATAATTGGTTAGAACATGAATGTGCGTGTAGATAAATGAAAGACCTACACCAACGTCTGCATTAAACCCACAAAGCACCTATCCTTGCCCGGTTATTACACTATGAAGACTAGCATACTTGAATTTTGCCACTAAAAACTAGATTTAAATTTTGAAAAAGCTGTGGAAAGCATTCTATACAACTTTGGGTCATTTTTTCATCTAAAAACGTTTTGAATAAACGAAAAGACATACAATAGTGCATTTTCATGTTCGAAGTCGAAAATGTTTATTCAACCATTTTGACTCATTACAGCCTGCTGTTGCCAAATGGTAATATCCCCAAATTTTATTGGCAGGATTTGATGAACAGTTGTTCTTAATAATGCAATATGCAATAGATCTAAAAAGTAAAATTTGGCACGAATGGCTTTCGGTATTGAATAAGTAACTGTACAGAAAAATTGTTTTTACGGTTGAGTGGTTCCTATAGGGTATTGTTGATAGATTCGACCATGCTCTCAGCAGAAAACCCTTGCTTTGTATTGGAAACCATGAGTGCATTCTGAAATGTATTGTAGTAATTATCAAATCATCAAGATACTCTATATCTTTACTAAAAGTAAGCTATTATTGAAATATTTGCTAAATGTTGCCAAATAACAACATCTGACCGGAAAAGGATATTTTGTTTTTAATAAAATTTATTAGATGACGAAAAACTTAAATGTGAAGCACAACCATTCATTATGGTCCATCCGTTATAAGAAAAGCTAAATGTTACAAGAGCTCTTTTGACGACGTTTCATATCGAACTTATTTTTCTCACTCAAAGTTAATCTCAGAAATTTTTTTTAGTATGATTTTTGAAGTTTAGACTGCTCTTTCAATGGCAAATAGAATAAACTTTCTACAATGTTCCTAAACAGAAACTTCGGCAATTATTTTTGCATTGTAAGTTATTCTTATTGCAATTGAGCTAAATTTTTATTGTTGTAAGGAATTTTGTTTTCGATATAGAAACTCATAATCTAATGAAAGATATTATTCTTATATCGGCATTATTTGTTTCTATTGGTATATATATTTATGCATTTATTCGTCAACGTGAAACACAAGCAAATATAAATATAATGTTAAAAGAACTTGAAATATTACAAAAAGTTGAAGGCAATTTATTAGCTGTAACTAAAAAGTAATACATATTTTGCTTTGATTATTTTTAATGACATAAATTTTGTTGAATTCAATTTTAAGAATGCGAACCAAAGAAAATTCAAAAAATTAATCAAAATTTACTACATAAATGTTTATTGAAATACAACGAATTAAAGTATAAAGAAAATAATTAAATATAATTTAATTTTTCTCCTTGATTACATTTAAGGAAGAAGCAGATGGATTTCGAAAAAGTCGTGATTCAATTTTTGATCATGAAAAACAATTAAGTCTTGCTTTACAAGAAATTAAACAAGTAAAATAATATAAACATATTGATTTTGCGAAAAACACTATCTAAAAGGAATGTTGAACTTTAGTGGTAAATATTATGACTCCTTAAAAAGCTAACAGACACATATAGCAATGTCTCTCCTTCATCACAAGACGTGACAGACACTTTAGCAACTCTTTTCCTCAGGTTATAAACTTTGACAGATGTTGTTAATGTACAATTACAGACAGTGATAGTTGCTGTGGATGTATAATCATAGACCATTTGTGAATGGCGTCTTGTTATAATATATGAATCATTTCATTCGTACATTTCTGGAAGATTAAGTAAAATGATATTGAAGAAATGTGTCCCAAAATAGATTTATTAAAACAATCTTCCTGTGATTAATTGAAGCAGCTACGTTGTGTTTCACAGTTGAATTCCATAGGGGTTATGTTAACAGCTTTTTTTTAAATAAGATAAAATTCTTGTTTAGTTACAAATTGCATTACACCAAGCAGAAGAACATGCTCAACAGCAATCATATGAACCACCAAATGAATTAATTGATTTACTTAAACGTACTTATTAAATGGAATAAACAGCTTTTGAAGTAAATCGAAAATTAACTAAAACTGCTTTAATAACAGCTAAAGAACAAGTAGATAGTTGAATTTATTTATTTCTTTTTCTGTCATATGTATTAACAAATTATTAGATGAAAAAAATTTCGAAAATGCAAAAAGGTTTCTTTGGTGCTGTACAAATTGCACACACAAATTGTATAGATAATACTGGTAAATTAATAAATGCAGCAAAGTAAAATATTTTATTGTTTCTTTTTTTTTTATTATTCGCTGTTGTTTTTCATTTTATAGAGAACGATTAACAGAAATTCATGATGAATATGAAGAACGTAAACAACATTGGAATCAAATTGCACTATTACTTAATCGTGATGATTTAAACAATTTAAGATTATCAACATCTGTTATATATCGTAACAAAGATTCTTCTTGTATTCATAACTAAATATTTGTGTCACTCTCCGTATTTTATATTCTTATAATTATTATTTAATATAAACAAATATTTCTTCCTACTTTTCTTTTTCAATTAATAAGTATGTATATATATATATTTCTATATGCAATTAAGAAAATTAGTCCTTTTTTACCATTAAGTAATTATAGTTTTGTACTCATATAAATAGACAAACAAGAAAATATAAGCATTCAATGGTATTTTTACTTTTATAAAAATAATTATAATTAATAGATCATACAAAAAACTACTTTATGAATGGTATTTACATACTCGAATAATTATCAATGCCAAAAGATACATTGAAAGATGAGCAGACAAACAACAGAAAAATAACATACGTAATTTAATATAGATTTTCGACGTGTCACGTAATATTCATGAATGATTAAAATCTATAAATTCATTTAGAATAAATCGTTATCTTCGTTTTTCTCTTTAAATTATGTTTGATTGATACTGGCATTCATATTAAATTTTTTTTTCTACACTAACGACTCAAATAAACTCTATGACTTAGAAAATAATGCACATGCAGAAGCCACAAGACAGAAAATGTATACGCCCTTCTAAAATTGAAAATTATTCATTATTACCTCCATTCAGTTACCAAGGTTTTTTGAGCTTCGTATTACATCCATGAAATATTATTGTATAAGCCTCTCCAATTTAGAAACCGTCACATGGACCTCTGTAAATATGTTTTTTTTTAAATAATGAAACGAAATAAAAATTTATACAAAATGCGACATTCATTAGTAATGCTTTGATATCACGAATCAATCATACTCTTCAGATTGTTTTCAAAGAAACATTACAATTTTCTATCAAAAATATCGTCATTTATTGATCTTGATTTTGCTTACATGCTCTAGTAAACGTGATATTTCAAACTTTAGTTAAACGTAAAAAAAGAAGTAAGATTCAATCGATTGTAATATCATTTATTTCATATTTTTGTTTTATCATGTTTTATCCATCCCTCAAAAAATAGAGCAATGTACAAGGAGAATAGCGGCAATAAATAAATAATTGCAATAGTAAAGCCAAAAAATAATGCGAAATAAGGACTAATAATCGTTGTCTCCTATCTTTCTCTTTTTTTTCCTAAATATACAGAACAGAGCAAAATACTAAAGTCATAAAAAAAAAAATGTTACGCTTGAACGGCTCGATCTTTTTTCGATATGTATCCTCATGTGTATATGTGTATGTTTTTCGCTTTCTTTTCAATCAAATACAGTCCTTCGATATACGATAAAAAGCAAAAGAAAACCAACTTTAGAGTCCTCTATCATTCTTTAGATTTAAACTTTGAATGATCAGTAAACAATAATGTCCACACATGGTTTACATTTTGAACAAAGCGATGAAAAAAATAGCACGAATATCAATGCATCACGACCAAGAACAAAACCTACTAAACAAAATCTTAGTTTTATGAATTCAGATGGTGTCATAGAAAATGGTCATGGTTTATTTTCAGAAACTATTTCATCAAGACCATCAAAACGTTCTGGAAATCAATCAATTAATGAATCAAATTCAGAAATGTCTACATATTCACAACCAACAGTTCGAAGTTCAAATTTAAATAATCCTGCATTACATTTAACATTAACTCCAGTTGAAAGTTTTCAATCGAATGCAACAAATCTTGATAATGTGTCAAACTTTCAACAAATTGAATTAAGTACAGTTACAGACGACGATGAAAATGATGGTAAAAAACAAAAAAAAGTTGTACCACCAAAAGATTATAGAATTCCTGATCATGATCCAATAATAACATCATATACATCAGCTAGTGAGAGTGATATTATTGAAATACATGAATTTAGTTTCGCTGATGTCGATGCTTATCTTGATATTTATTTCGAAATGCTTCATAATCGGTTAGCTCATTTTATTGGAGACAGAGATCAATTGCAACAGTTTCGTATGAAAATGAAAAATCGAATAAATTCTGATACAAATTCACGTGAATATCAAAATGTTCTTCTTGGTAAAATGAATGGTGAAGTTGTAGCAGCAGTAACACTATTATTTCCTAGTGAAACAACAACTGTTACAAATGATCATATACTTCCAGAAGAAAATTCATGTTTAACATCAATACGTCGTTGGATGATACGCAATGCAAATTATATTCCAACAGTTGCAAATGAATGCTATATTGAAATGATTGGTGTTAAAAGTTCATATCGAAATCAAGGTATAGGTGCAGCTCTACTTGAATGTGTGGAATATTTTGCTCAAGGAGCTGGTGCACTTTTATTAACAGTACATACAAATGAAGAACAATTAACAAATTATTTTCAACGATTTGGTTTTATTATTGATCATTCAGATAATTCAGCATATTGGAAATGGGCAGTCGAACGACAAAAAATTGCTAAAATGTCAAAAATTATCACACCTCATAATGAAAATGATGATGCATACATGGATAATGGAAGTAGTTATGCTAATGAAAGTATGGGTGGAAGTGACGGTGTATAATACAATAGAGAGAAAAAGAAACAATGTATGAGTGAAAAAACAAAGCAAATAGATATTTATTATCAATATTTATGTTGGTGGTTTTTATTAATTTATTATATGTTAGAACAAAAGAAAAGAACGACAAGGTTGATATAAAATATAGTACATCAGATAGTTATATTTGATTGTCTGCAGACGCAAGAACGCATAAATGTGGTTTTCTTTAGAAAAAAATTTTTTATTTTTATTTTTAAGTAAACTGATTCAATTAAACGAAAGAGAACAGTATTGAACAATCAGGTTTTAATAAATTTTATTAAAGGTAACATAAAGAAAATCAATGGATCATATTCATTATTTTTTCTTCCAATTACTTAAGAAATTTACATATCACTTTATCAACAATTTATTTTAAGTATTTTTTGAAATCATCTAAAATGTAATTTATTCTGAATTCAACTAATTATTCATGCGAATCAAGTCTATTGCTGATCGAGATCTATTAATTGCTAATAATAACTTATATCAATTAGCTCATATATACTAATGAATAATGTGTTGTAGATGTTTTATGTTTAAAAAAAGAAACAATTTAGTATAACCTTTGGCAAGAAATATGCACTTACTTTTCTGCTACTTAAAGACCACTGTCGAGAGCCAGCAGCGATTTGACAGAATCAGACTTTTTATCTCTTTCCGAATATCTTTTCAAAATTTCGTTTTGAATTAAGATTGAGCAACTATCATAAAATTATTTCAAAATAGTAATTGTACTGAATATTATTTTGATCAAATTTGTATTTCAATGGAAACCTATCAAAGTCAAAAAGCGAAACAGTTTTTACTAGACATGTGCATGGTTAGTATAAATATTGAAATACTGATAGTGAGTCTTCCACACGTATGAATGTACAGTTTTACGGAAAATATTGATAGTGATTCATCGATAATGAGTCTACTGATACACTGACGACGCTAGATCGGTATTGGTCTATACATTGACACACCTATATAGTATGAATATGTCAAGTACATTAGTGAACACTGATCCAGTGAACGTCAATGTAAACGGTGTTCACTGAAGCAATGACTACATTGACATTCGCGTTCGTTGAAACATTGAAGCACCAACTATCAAAAATTTTTCCTTTTTGTAGCGATGTGTTTCAGTACTTCAGTGAACACTATTGATCGTGTAGTCAGTGTGCACTAACTACGTTGAGTCTGTGATCAATAAACTAATAGTGCACATCCCAAATTTTTAATCTTTCAGTTTTCTAAAGCAAACTTTACTTGACAAAGCATGCTGTTTACTTTTGCATGACAGACTTTAAAGCTTACATTTATTGAAACGACGATTTTTTTACCAGTGCTGATTTTCATAGAAACTAGCTCTTTATTGGAAACGCATAGATAAAATTTCACTTATTGTAATATCACATTTTGTAAAGAATTTAGTGCTGTACAATAATATTGAGTTAAAGCTGTTTTAAGATATCAACTAAGAAGTGTGCCAAAAACCGCTATTTGACCTTTTAATCCTTGCTTCGTACATGCACAACATTGGACTTTTTCTACAAAAATTTATCGATAGTTGTTCAATATTATCCCACAAGAAAATGTTGAATATATATTCGAAAATACCGAAAACCTCTGCTTCGGATGCTAAGCAGTTGCCTTTTAGTGACTGAATATTTTGTGCCAAGACTTTTATGCTATTTGGTCACTTCAGAACTGATTGTATTTAATTGAATTCAGATGATTGTTGAAGAATAGTCGGCGCTAGACTTATATGGGTTCCAATGTTTTTCGAATAGCTCAAGAACGCAATCAGCTAGTGACTTGCAATTTTCACCAATCAAAAGACGAGACAAGGAGACATCTTTTTCTCCGATATTGTATAAGACGAAATCATTTTAAAACCAGTCCATTTGTTCAACACATTACAAAAAATGCATGAATATGACCTGTTGTTTCGATGAAACTTTGCTTTTGACATGTGATCTGAATAGAGGAACTTCAGATCTATAGTTCAAGATATAATTCAAATGATCATCTTACTGTATCCCAAAGTTGAGCAAATAAATCGTTTGTTTTACTCGTACGAAAACTATGGATTTCTTTTAGTTTTAAGCAAGCTTTCTTACTTTTTGTCAAAAATTGATCAACCAGTTTTATATATTTTTTGCAATGTTTTTGCAGAAATGACTGATTTTAAAATTAGTTCGTCTTATACAATACCGAAGACAAAGATGTCCCCTTGTCTCTTCTTTTGCTTGATGAAAATCACAGGTCTCTATCGCTTATCGAAAGTAGTTTTATTCTTCATTGCTCAAGAAAAACAACTTCATTAATAGAAGACATACGAAAAATCAAACTAGATTTCTCATATCCAATTAAAATTCTTTATCAATAATTTCAAGTTTTTTTTCTTGTTATACTTTTAAAAACAAATACGATATACCAATAATTATTTCTAAATATATCGACATAGAGAAAATTGAGTCAAGTCAACATTTATCAGAAATATAACAAGAAAACAAAAAAAACGAACATATATAAATAATGACACAAACATATTAATTCGTTTTCTGTATTCTTTTTCACATTTATACACAGACATGCGCATACATACATCGTAAAAAGAAGAACAGCTGGTATTGCAAGATAAATAAAATTGACTTTAATGTATACACAAGAAAAACAAATAAATGATAAAGAAAAGAGCTGGAAAGAAAAACAAATTGAGATTGATGGGCAAACACCGGCAATAATTGTAATTGATCAAATTGAAATCCTTTCATGTTGGGTTACTTTTTTTATGCAATCGTCTATTTTGAAATGGTTTTAATAATTTCGTTGATATAATTGATTTTCGTACTTTTTCCGATGATGTCGTTGGTTCTTGATAATCTATTATTAAATCGGATATTTCAGATTTTCCATCAAATTGTTGTTGAGGATCATCACAACTAGAATCATCATTATCTAATTGAAAATCAGGAATAGCACCAGGTATTATTTTTGTTTGTCTTATTGATGATGGTGCATCAATAGATTCCGATATATTTCGTCCTGTTATTTCTGTTGAATTTATATTTAAATTATTAAGACCATTTGTTGAATGTGAATAAACTATTTTTGCACTATTACTAAGACGTTCAGTTGATGAACGATCACTTGATAAATTATTGTGGGTATATGTACGTCGTTTTAATGTTGCTGATGGAGAATTTGAATATTCAAAACAACTATCAGTTTCACTTTTTGTATCTTGTTGAGCATTTTGCATTGGAAAATATGAATTTACTGGTAATCCACGAACATTTACATTGCTAAAAAGATTAAATATAAAAATCAATCTTTCATTGATTTTTGAAATTAATTAATAATGACTTTTAATAGAAATTGAAAACCTGCCAAGAACTATTGAGGAAAATGAATTTTGTTTTTAGAGTCTTATTGTTTAAGAGAAATGTAAACAAATATGTGAAGCTTCATCAAATTCAATATTCAGTTTTTTCCGCAAGAAATCTTATAGGATGTACTAATAATAACAGTAGAGGTCGGCAAGTTTAGTTCTCTAGTTCGAATCTGTCAAAAAAGTTCTTTTGATCTGACCTGAGCTGTCGAATAATTTTTGCTCTACTTTTTGGAAAGGGCACTTCCGAATACACAAACTCTTTGTTCTCTTACTAAGATTCCATTTCCCAAATAGAACAAAATTTTGCGAACAACGTAGCTTCAGGAAGTGAACTGTTAGAACAGATCAGACCTTATCAGAAAATTTGTCCAAACAGATTAGATCATATCAAAAGATCTGTTGAAACAGTTCGTTCACTCATGAAATCTGTACTTTGAATTGAGACCTGGTTGACTCCTAAATAACAGTTGGATATATCAATTTATTCTGTATATACTAAGAAAAGGTCAAAATGTAATTAATGTATTTTGTTTTTATATTTATCTGTTGTTTTCTTTTTTCAATTAAACTTCTTATGAAATTTTCTCTATAAACAATGTGTGTATGAAAAAAAAATAAATTTTAGAATATTTAATATTTATTTCATATGCTCCTATTATTACACTCTATTGACTTAAGTATACGTTATTTTTTTTTTCGAAGACATCTATATTGGTATTAAATCTTCTAATGCAATAAAATTATTCCATACCTATTTGTTTTATTAAATAATGATGATTCATTACTTGAATTAATTAAACTATTCACATCAGCAGATATTCGTTTACTTCGACTATTTGAATCTAAATAGAAATAAAAGTTTGTATAAGGGAATAAAATCTATTAATATAAAAAAAAATAAAAATAAAAAGAGAACTGTAGTATATATTATAATCATCATATATGTCCTTCCTATCGTTTAACTGAAAAGAATTATTATCCAAATAAGATACATCTGAGCTATCTTATTTTTTTTCTTTTGTCATATTCTTTCTTAGAATTCTTCAGTAAAATAAATAATAATAAAATTCCCAAAACATTAGAAGCAGTGTATAAATTCATGCGTGAAATATTATGGCTTTTTATCAATGAATGAGTACGAGCAACTCACCTCGATTACGGGAAACTAACCGTAAAATTAAGATTGTTATTAGAACTATTAACTACGTTTACAAAAATAATCACCTGGTAATAAATTATTAGTAATTCCATTATTTGATGATAACTGTGGACTTCCACTCAAATATTGATTACCACTACTTGATGCTGACGATGATGATGAATAACTAATTAAATCTTCTCGATCAAGTAATGCAGCAATACGATTCCAACGTCTTTCACGTTCTTCATATTCATCTTGAACATTTGTTAAACGTTGTCTAAAAAAACAATAAAAATTTATTTAAAACTAAAAAAATAAAAAACAACTCATATAATTTACTTTGCAGCATTTATTAATTCACTTATATTATCCATACAACCTGTATGTGCTATACGTACAGCACCGAAGAAACCTCTTTGCATTTTAGAAATTTTAATCATCTAATATATATATATATAAATAGTAACAAAAAAAATGTAGATGTATATTTTTACTTGTTCTTTAGCTGTAAGCATAGCACTTTCTGCTGTTTTACGTTTAGCTTCAAAAGCTATTTCTTCAACATGATAAGTACGTTTAAGTAAATCAATTAATTCACTTGGTGGTTCATATGTTTGATATTGAGCTTGTTCTTCTGCTTGATGTAGCGCAATACGTAACTAATTCAAATTAAATAATACAAATAATTTTTTTAAATTTAATACATGAGCAAAATCGTTCGTTAGCGATGAGACTTCGCAAAAATTAGAACACTTGTATTTCGAGACGGAACAAATGAAATCCCGAACAATATAGGGAAAAAATCAATGTTCGGATTTTTTTGTTTTGAATCCTAACAACAAAACGTGTCGTACACTTCAATTCTTTTATTTCTAAGATATATCTTAATCAAGAAATATATAGCACAAAAAAAAGCACTTAGACAATCATTCGAGCAACGTCTGAGTAGATAATGTGGTTGACTACACGAATCCAAAAATGTCAGAACACGATTCTATATGACATCTATCATTTCTAAATATTAGACTTCTGTAGAGGGAAAATCCTCATGAGTCTGAATCAACTATTGCCATATAAGCAAACTCTCAGTTGTTTATTATCGTTTTCGGATTTTTATAACCCTCGAATGGAATGAAGTTTGAAAAACAAAATCTATTTCACGTGTGCACTTATCACATTCTCACGACATTGACAAACTTTTTTTTTTTCGAAATGATGGATAGGTGTGGTAGAGAACGAGCGTCTGGCTTGAGTTGTGATTAATGTGACATGTCAACTAAGCAAGTGAAACGCAACAAGTCGGCGACTACACTTTGTCCAATCAGTCGGCTTTCAGTCAACGGGATTTGGAACATGAAAAAGTTTGTCTCATAGGGCTCTACTAGAAACCTTTGTTCAGAGAATTTATCAGTAAAAAAAATTAGCTTTACAGACTTGCCGACTTTCACTTCATGCATCTTAGTTAAAAAAAGAAAATTTCCGAATTGAGACAAAACTAAATATAAAATTTTATAAACAATTTCTGAGACTACAAAAGGCTGTACCCGAAGATTTTGGCGAGATTTCCTTTTCGTTAACAACATGACGAACTATTCTTAAGAGAAAGTTTTTTGAAGTCTGATCTTGCTAAAAACTTCATTATAGACGCAGCTTACTTTTTAACAAATACTCCGTTGAAAGAGCGAACATTTTAACATATCTCTATGCTAAAAGAACTTATTCAAATATATATTATATTATTTATTTACTTGTTCGATTTCTTTTAGAGCTAATTGAAGTTGATTTGCATGATCAACGGTTGAACCACGACGTTGTCGATACTTTTCGGCTATTTCCTAACGAAAAAACAAAATTTTTGTTTTTTTTTCTGTTTCTTTAATAGAACATAACTATTTTTATACTTTCGTTCGTTGTACTTCAATAAACCAAGATTTTAATACAGAACGATCAACTTTAGTTTTATCTTTTAATTCATTTTCCATTGCTTTAATTCTGTTAAATAATAAAAACAAAAAGAATAATGTCAATATAATTATTAAATTAAGTTTTCTTACTTTCCAGCTACAGCTTTTAGATTACCTTCAGCTTTTTGTAATGTTTCAAGTTCTTTTAACATTAATTTCATACTTTCTTGAGTTTTGCGATGACGTACAAATGCATATAAACAAGCGCCGAAAGATACCAATAATGCTGACATTAATATTATATCTTTTATTAGATTATGTATATCTAAACAAAACAACAAATCATTTAAAATAAAAACAAAAAATAGACCAAACAAATGAAAATTTACGTTTTGGAGGACCAAATAAAACAACATCTGTTGCTTTAATAACTAAACGTCGTTTATGTCTTGGATCACGTATTTGCATAACAGCTGAAAGATAATGTTTTTGATTAGCTGCTAATCTAATAAAATTAGAAAATTCATAATTATGAATTTAAATCAAAATAAATTTCTTCATTCAAACCTTGGAATCATTCGGCCATCGATTTGATTTCGACGAAAATTTTCAACATAAATTGGTAAATGAACATGATTAACAAGCCAATGAATGACATCATCATTACTCCAATTATAGACTAAAACAACAATAACAAAAGAGACATTGAAATAATTTTAGAGAATTAAATATAAAAATTCACCTGCACTCTTGTCCCATTGTGTCCATAAATCATGAAATGTTATCTGTAAATTAGCATCTTGAAATTGACGATGTCGTATAGAGTCTGTGTTTGATTCTAATTCTTCTTTTATAAACTAAAAGACGCAATATTCATTTAAAAGACAAAAATAATCATTTCATGATAGAAAACAAAAAGTCTTACATCATTACTTTCAGATGCTTCAATCATGCCATCTTTATCATCATCCATTTGTTCATGTATAGCTTTTATTGCTTCTCGACCAAGTCGTTCTTTATCAGCATCAACGCATAAATTAAAAGCGCCCGTACAATCTCAAGGAAATCAAAATAAACATATTGATTAATAAAATTAAAAACAATTTACCTGGATCAGGAATATTATAAGCAATGTTATTATTTAGTTGGCATGATTGAAATAAGTTGAGAAATAAAATAGCATAAACAAATATTGGACACATAAAATCTAAATATATAAGAAAAAAAAATGCAAATACATTTTATTTGATCATGACGACAAATTTGATTTATGAATATTTTTACTTAATAATAAAAGATAAAAACCTACAGGTAACAATATTTAAATGTCGAGGCAGTGAAAAGTAAACAGTGTTGATGAAGAAATAAAATCGTACTTATTCGAACCATGTGGTTATAGAAAATCGAAATGTATATTTTATGTCACGTTGTTGTCATTCGGATGATTAAACACGCTGAATATTTATGTTCCGTCAGACGTCCTCATATTTATGTATATAGTTATTACAGCGTTATTTTCACGAAGAAAGAATGAGGAATGGTAGAGACTGCAACTCAATGAAAGTTGTTTTTAATTATCAACGGTAATAAAATGCAGAATGTATATTATGGATTCTAATATGACAAATAAAGTAATATGGACACACACATATATATATATATATATATACGTATGCAAAAAAAGATGCCGTTAGAGTATTCCAAATTTTTTTTTTTTATTATTCGAAGGGATGAATAATAAAACTTTTTATTGAAATCCATAGGTTATTTGTTTATTGTAGTCTACAACTATTATAATGATTATGAAATTTGTTCTTTTTTTGCTGAATCAATAACGAGGGGTTGCTTCAAGGACAAAAAAATCGATTAGTTTCTATGTTAATTAGGTCAATTAGTTATCGGCTGGCACAAAGTTCAGGTCATTTGAAATTGTGAAGGATCCTCTAGAGATGTTTTTCTGCAAGAAAAGCTCCAGAAATCTCAATAGATGATCAAGAATTTTGCATCAAACATGGCACAGAATCGATAGAGAAATTCTAATCTGTATTACGCTTTTGTCTTTTATTGATTAAAAGAGAACATACATTTTATTCTTCGTTACAGTTGTAGATTACAGTATATATGAAATCTATCAGTATTAAATGTTTTATTATGGATCGTTACGAACAAAAGAAATCTGGAGTGTGCCAATGATTTTCAGTTTTTTTTTACATCCTATTGTATATACCTAAGTGAAGATATTGATGGTAGAAGTATTGTGTTTTGTTGGACGTATTTTTCGGTTGAGACTGAAGTATGAGAGAAAGAACAGAAAAGAACAACAAGAAAGTCATCGGCTTTTACCATCTGATTCTATATTCTGCCTATCATGTATAACTGACATTTTGTAGATAATAACAATATATAGTCTCTCATGTGGCAAATATAATCAAACATTATACATGCACTTATCTTGTCTCATGGTTGTCAAAAACTTAAATAAATAAAACTCGATAATACTATTCTGTTAGATGTTAATCGACTTATTATTTTTAAGCATATTTTTAAATAACTTATTACAAATCAAAAAAAGAAATTAAATTTAATCGATTATTCATATTACTAAAATAGCTACACTATTTTAAGATATCTTTTTTTTCGACTTTATTCATTTTTAAGTAAATATTTATTTAATAAAAATTGTTTTTATTAAAAAAACTTACCGATAACGATGCTTGATCGATTGGTCTGTATACTATTAAACTAACAATTATTATTTTTTCTTTTCTTTCTTCTTACTTTTCTTATGAATCAGTATATTCTATAACACGTTGTAAGTAGATGTTTCATATCCAATAGAAAAACTTCTAAAATTGATTTCTATTGGATGAAGATAAATACATTCTAAATTCTCATAAAAATTAGATCTGCTTTTTAAAACAACATTGTTTTTTTTGTACGATGAATTATCAAGGATTAATCGAAAAATTTGTTAATGATCGTGATGAAACAGTTGTTAATCAACTAGGACAATGTATGTAAAACAAAAATAAAAAGAAATAATCTTTAATTTCTTCATTATTCTAATTTAGTTTTGATGAAGAAAGAATTAACATTAATAGATTTTATTGTTTATATTGGGTAAATGAAAAATATTCATTTATCTCTTTAAAAAAAACAAAAGCAAATATCATTGCATTTAGTGATTATCTTCAAAGTACAGAATTATCAACAAGATCTTTGGCTTTAACATTAGTTGCAAATGTTCTTGAATATTTACCAAATACATTTTTAGAATCGAATGAAAGTAAAAACAAAAAACTGTTAATTATTTTCAATAATTTGTTTCGTTTTTTTTTTTATTATTATTTAGTTCATCATTTAGTTGTTTTTATAAGTGCAAAAATAAGTGATCATCATACACTTATACAACCATCTGTTCTATTATTTCGTATTTTAGTAAAATTTCTTTGAAAATAATTAATAGAATTTTTTTTATTGAGGAAGTTTTTGTTTCAGGCTAAACAATCAGCTATTAGTGATGATGATTGTACAACAATGATAAAATCAATATTTTCTGATGTTTATGTACAATCACTTCCGCAAGCACATCGATATAAAGTTTTTGTTATTTTATTAGATTTTCTGTTACATCATCTCGGTGGTAAATACATAAAGATTTGTTATGTGTTGAAAGATTTGATTTTTTCCATTTTTCTAAAGCTGTTCAGCAACTTGGTAGTGATTTTGTTTGTAATTTTATACAATCCATGGATGGTGAACGTGATCCGAGAAATCTTGTTCTATGTTTTCAATGTGTACAATATATGACGAAATATTTAGATATTGGTAAAAAAAAAAAACAATGAAATGATACGTATAATATAAAATTTTTTTTTTTTTCGTATTTAGAACCTTATAAAGAAGAATTATTTGAAGTTGTTGCATGTTACTTTCCAATGGAATATAAACCGGTATGTTTATTTGAAGTTATTTAGAAAATTTCTTCGATATTTATTTGCAATTCTTTTTTTACTTTAATTATAAATTTTGAAAATATCTATGTTAGATTAATCTTATGTTTAGAGTAAGAAGAGTGAATGGTAGACCAGTGATTAGTCTTTCAGTAAAATATTTATTTGTTTACATGAGCAATTCGAGAGAAAAAGAAATTCTATCCCTTTTTTGTTATCGATCTATTTATATTGATTACATTTTGAATCTTGTATTTTTATATTTGTTTTATTCACTCTATTGATGTCAAGTACTTTTTATTATTATTATTCATGTACTCTCTGCTGAAAAATATATGATAAGGTTTATTAACATGATTATATTGTAAATGATTTTTTTTTGTATAAATAATACGTCTATGATATTTGATATCGTACCTCATATATAGACAAGTTTTTTTTGTTTATCAAATATGTAATGAAAAAATCGTTCTGTCAGGATAAATCTTTCATGCCCTGTTATGTTCCTTACAAAACACAATGACTCAATGATAATGTACTGCAGAATTTATGGCAGGAGAATGAAAACTGCTCTGAGATGTTCTCTGTAATGAAATAAACGACTATTTCGACATCGTGGTTAATAACATAACTATTTTTCACTGCTGTATAAATAGTAATCAATTGATGTAAAATCTCAAGTCGTTTATATGAATACGAAGATTTTTCATGTTATTTTATGATATGTTAACATTAAAAACACTCAAGTGTTTTACTAATCGAATATCCTATTCTTAAGCTAATAAATCTTTTCCAGCTTGAATCAAGCATTTGCCTATATAGAAATGAAACTTCCCACAATCACCCCAAGCTTATAAAGAAAAGGCAATTTTGAACAATTGGAGCTTTTTTTTTTATCTTCGAGTTATAGAGTACAACTAGCTTTTCTCGTGTGATTATTCACAAAAGACGCAAAGCTTTCTATAATAACAATGATAAATAATTTCATTTGTATTTTTTCTTTTTATTTAACAGAAAGCAACAAATAATGAAATGGAAGAAACAATTACACACGAACAGCTTGTCCTTTCATTACGTAATGTTTTAACATCAACCGGTAAATTCGCTCGATATTGTACACCGATGTTAATTGAAAAACTGGAATCGGATATACCCAGTGCTCATTTAGCTGCTATGGACGTCTTTGTATGTAATCAAACAAATTAAACTTTTTTTTTTTCATGTAAAAGATCTTTTTATTTTAGATTCATTGTGTTGATGAATATGATGCTCGTGATATGGGTTCACATATAATACCATTATGGAATTTGTTTAGTAAACAGGTATAGAAGAGAACAAAAAAAGAAATAATAAAAAGTAAATTTTGTTTTTGAAGGCTTTTTGTGCTGAAAATCAAGAGACTGAAACATATGCACTTAAAAGTATAACTGCATTAATGCAATTAATTGGAAAATCAGTTCAAAATGATGAAACAGAAATTTCAACAAAGAAATTGGTCGCTCGAGCTATTCAACGTAAAAGAAAAAATTGAAATTTTCTCTTTTGGAAAATAAACAAAATTCATTTCATTCTTAGAATCGGAAAATTTTCTTAAACAATTCGATTTAAAACTTGCTTGGCCAGCAGCAAAAGTTCTTCAAGCTGTTGCACGTGGTAATCCAACTTGTTCAACACTCATATGGTCAAGCATAATTCCATTATTAGTCAAACAATTCAATAATTTAGAACTAGTATTTATTAAGAGAATCCTGTCGGATAAGATGAACGTTCTTTGTTTTAAAAAGCCACCTATATCGCTTTGCAGAGCAATTCGTGCCGCATCTAATAATCTATAGGAAATTACTTTTTCATCAAGAGTTTATATTCTAAGAAGCCACATATCAGTTAAGGGATACTATAATAATTGTGGATAATATGAGAATTTAATATGTCTCCAAATCAACTTACATCAAACTTTGTTCAAAGTTATTTCAATAGAGTTTTGTATTGTTTTTAATCGTATGTTTCTAATAATACTCATAATAGTTTTTTTCTTCGCTTCTGTAATATTTGACTTTTATGATATTTTAATTTCTTTGATATTGCTCTTGAGGACTAATGCGACGAAGCACGCAACTTTCTAAGAAATTATGTGTCACCAAGCTCTATAAGTGTATCAATTAATCTTTTTTCTGAATTGATGTGAGTCATAGTCAAATCGGTCAATCAATGCCTAAAAAGGGTCACTTTTTCGATTCTAAGGACAGAATAGTATATAACTTTTGCAATAAATACTTTTTGAGTGAAAAATTATGTCTATCATGTTCTATCATTTGATATATATGGATCTTTCAAAAAAAGACCAAACAATTTTTCGCTGTCGAATCCCTAGAGAAGGGCAACGGAATATGCAAATTTTCATAGGAGATCGAACATATATTTAATCTAATAGAACTCCATACTCTAATTACATCCGGCTAGTCAGAGTCTAAATTTGTAGGGAATATAATACAATAAAAACCAATCTTGGTAGTAGTTCATTTCATTCCCGTATCTTCCTCCAGGGATGTGAAAGTGAAAAATTTTTTTGTTATTTTCGAAAGATCCATAAATGTTAAATGATAATACATGTTGAACTTATTGTTAATAGATATCAAAAACTTTTTCACTCAAAACATATTTATGACAAAGCTCATATAGTTTTCTGTACTTAGAAATTAAAAAACTAGTGTTTTTTAAGCATTGATTGGCGGATTTGACCCTGACATACATCAATTCGAAAAATAATCAATTGGTATACTTATATAGATTGATGACGCACAATATTTGAGAAAAGTTACATGATTCGTCGACTTTGCCATTAGCAGCAGTATCGAACAATGTAAAGCATCATAATATTCAAAAACTACGAGAGTGAGTTAAAATATTAAAGTTTTCAATACGAAGAAATTTCTTATAGATATTACTTGATATACACAATTAGAAATGAGACTAAATTCTCTCGAGTGTATGACTTCTCAGAACATTAAAAAGTCGATGAAAAAGCTATTTTCTATACACTATTCGATGCGGTACGAGATGCTCTGCAAAACGATATTGTTAGCTATTTAAATGAAGATTGTTCATCTTATTCGACAATATCTTTTCTTTTTTTGTTTATTAATTTAATTATTTTATTTAGTCCGGTCATAGAAGAACAATTCTTGATATGATTACTTATTTTCTTCAACCAACAGGTTAAATTTTTTTTCGTCTCAATTATCTATTTAATGTTTATTTTTTGTATTTTTTGTTTGTTAGATATTGGAGATATAATTAAATTAGCTTCTGATGTATCAGATGAACTTTGGATACTTGTATCAACACATTTTGAATTATTTCCAAGTCATTGTCTTTCATTAATTAGTAATCTTTTACAATTAAATTCTACACCTGGTCAAGTACTTGAAGATAATTTATTAAAATTTATTTTACAAGGAAATATTAATGATGAATTAAAGTTTGTATAAAGCTTTTATTTTTTTTTTTTTTTTATTATGAAGTCTAATTTAATTATATTGATAGAATAAAATTATCAAATGTTTTAAAAATATTAGCATCGTCAGCTTCATTTGATCGTATATGTATGATTTTACTTATGAATTTAATCAATTCATGGACAGGTAAAATAGAAATATAATATCAACAAGAAAAATTTTTAAATTTTTAGTGAAACATATTCTTCTAAATTGTATCTTACTCGAAGGATAAGAAGAGAGTCAAGTTCTTGTAATCATTTCAATTATGAAACCGAAATAAAAATATTAGTAATATAAGGCACCATACCAATTAAACAGAGAGTTATAAATTTCTGTTTCTATCAAAAATATCATCGTAGCTGAAAATCTGTCGCGTCATGACAATAGAAAAGAAAAGCTCATCAGCTACTGCCGTCATGGTATTCAAAAAAATGTTTCGACTTTAACAGCTGTGACTAAACTAAACTAGAATTATTGTTACTAGTCCATGAGTATCATCAAATGTTAAGAGAAGATCTCTCCAAGTGTGACTTTACCAAATGAAATTGTTATTTCCTTCATGAGTTTTTCTTTCGAAGTTATGTCAAGTTTACCGAATTCTTTTAATCTCTGGCAAGTTATTCGTGAAACAATCAAACTACGAATTTATATCCATAGATAAATCTCGTGGACCTTAGAATGTCCTGAAAATTTCAGCCTGAAAAGAAGTATTTTGCTTGGAGAATAGAATGCTGAAAACACGGGACTTTCTTATCTTTGCTCAAGTAGAGAAATAGCGCACTTCAAGACTTCATGAGACTTGAAGATAACATTTGATACAAAAGTAATAGAACAAATGTCGACTTCTATATTTCTCCATTGGAAGATAGAAAATTCTTTTCTCTTTTGAATCATATATAATTTATTTTTATCATTTGTTCATGAACGAAATTACATTATAGGTAAAACAAATTCGCACTTTTCCTGTGATTCAACACGAAGGACAAAATTTTGATCCTTATATCCTTTTGATAAGCACGTTCTAAATGAATTATTGTTCCATCAGTCGATAAGAAATTTTCTCTTTATTCACACATTATATAATTTATATTTGTCATGCATTCAGAAATTAAATGAAGCTAAAAAAAAAAAAGAAAAAAAAAACACTCGCGTAATACAATTGTGATTTGTATATGACCTTGTCAAATGCAGAATGTGACATGAACGTTAATCAGGGTCAACTGCCGTTTTACACTATTTTTTTTTTACAAGGTCATATAAAAATCACAAATGTATTGTACGATTGTTTCTCTTTTTCTCGCCTCATTTGATTTACCAATGTATGAAAAGAATAAAGCATTTACTGTTCGAAAGAGAAGAAAGTTTCTTATCGACTGATGGAAAACCATTCTTTTCACAACGTGTTTATCGAAGAGATATAAGGATTCAGATGTTTTTCTGTAATTTACAGGAAAAGTACGAACTCATTATGAGCATGTTTCTGTTTGTATTTACACCGTTTCATTTATGGACATACCATAAAAATAAGTTATGCACGATTCCAGAGAGAAAAAATATTCTATCTCGTGATGAAAATAGTTTTCTTTCATCATCCTTCTATTGAAGAGACAGACTCAATTTCGTCCCATTGTTTTTGCACCAGGTACTATATTAAAAGCTATAGGGCAGAGATTCAATATCTCAAGAAAAACACATCTATGTAAACTGGAGTTTTCAGAGCATTCTAAGGTTCATGAGATCTACCTATATGTGAAGTTTTGTAATTCAATTTTTTCACAAATACTTTGTTAGCAATACCAAAATTTAGTAAAATTGTAATAACTTCGGAAAGACAAGGCATTGAGACGAATTCTTTAAGATTCCGCTAGTCTCGTGAAGGTTACTTATGGGCAAAAAATCGGTTCGATTAGTAACCCACACTTGGAGTTTCTCCTCGTTCGAGTGCTATATTTATGGATACTGAAATGTCGTGTAGACTTATGCAGTTTTGCAATATCCTTTTAAAAAAGATGTCCCGACTACCACGAAAATCTCTGATTTCCAGTAGAAATACATTTCGACGAACACTAAAAACTTTCGAAAGAATACATATGTCACGTTTATTAAAACTAAATTCTGTAGAAAACAAAAATAATGACACAATGAAATTTTACTTGAGTATTGAAAAAGCATAATAATGAAATTATATAGTTTGACTTTAGAAATTTTGCGTTCCTAGCTCTAACTCATGGACAATAGGTTTGCAATTCACCATTAATTATTTTCTTTTAATATTCATATCATAAATATTACTAATGAAGGACTCCCTCCACCCCAACTGATCAATCGTTTTTGAGTCGAAACTATGCGTACTGTAGTTTTAAAATTAATACCGTGGTCCTCCTCAGGAATACCAGGAAAAGCCAATGTTCGAATTTCGACTTGAAACTACAGACTTTAACAGGAGTAGTTTTTTGTGAATGTTTCAAATTTTGTCATTGTTCTTATCCCAAGATACAACTATGGCAACATTTAGACCAGCAAATTCAATGTTCTTATTATGAAACACGATCTAGAAGGAGTGTTGAAGGTATATAGGATGGAAATTCAGTGTCTCACAGACCATGATCAATACTATCTAGGATAGAAGCGGATCAAAAGACCTGAAACTTTCACAATAAACTATTCTCATTAAGATCTGTCTGTACGCAAAATTTCAAGTTGCAATTCGATAATTAGTTTTTCTGTTAACACGGAATTCATTTTAAAAAATACTGTAAAAATGTAGCATCTTCATAGCAATCAATTAAGAGCACAAACTCTTTTCGGGATATTCATAGTTCATTTCGGATCTATATAATCTCGAGTCATTAAGCAATTTATCATTTGCCAGATTTCCTTCATAGGACTTATCTTTATTTAGTTACCAAAACAACACCATCCAATGAAACATTAGAATGTTGTATTGATTTATGTCATAATTCTGAACGATGTCAAGAACGTCTTGAACGTTTCTTTTTTCCATCACGTACGTATGTTAATAATGAATAAATCAATTTGCAACTTTTTTTTGTTTTGTTTTAATATTCTTAGAACAATTAATTCGACTTTTACCAAATCTTTTTCAATATTTATCACCTTTATATATTTTAACAAATTTATTTTCACCATCATTTGATTTATTATTAGCATTAGTTGTTAATGATGAATATACAAAATATTTCTGTTCGAAATGTGGTAGTATTGCTGATGAAAGGTTAGATTAATGAAATAAAATAAAATTTCTATCTATGAATTTTATTTAAATAGTTGTAAAACATTTGTTCAAAATTTCTCTGAAACAAATTTATTCGACGATTCAATTTGGCAATTGGATAAAGTAAAGAAAAAAATTTCTTTTCATCTATATTAATTTAATATGTTTTATATTTTATAGCAAACAAATCTATTGATAATGATTTATTTTATTGGAAATTTAAAACGAAAAGTAATTAAAATAAATTGTTTTTTCAAATAAAAAAAAAGGCATTTTTGTTTTTAAAAGTTTTTTCAACATGAATTAGAATTAATTTTTAATAAAATTAATCAAAAATTAATTGAGAAAATATTTAATCAATCATCAAATGAACTGACAAAAATCTATTGTTATTTTTATGGAAATTTAATCAATAAATTAGCTTCGAAGAGTAAATTTTCTTGTATAGTTTTCTTGTTTTTTATACGATTTTATATGTTAAGATGAAATACTTGAACAAGTTCATTTGATTATAAAACAATGTGAAACATCTCCGGATGAAAAACATATTCATTTATGGACAATTATTGTTAAAGCATTAATATTATATCGTCCTTCACTTATTGAACAATACATTCCAACAGTAAAATTTCATAAGAATTTGAATAATTCAATGTTTATTTTTTCTTTGTTTAAATTTTAGTTAATATTATGGATGAATGAAAAGAATAATATTGGTGATTTAGGATGTCAATCATTAAAAATTTTAACTAATTTTAATGAACAAACTTTATTATTATCATCTGAAGCTGATTGTATTGTTCATCCAATGGTTAAACAAATTACTTTTATGAGTATACTTTCAAAAATGAAACCACTTTTGATTAATAAGGGTACGAAATTATTTATTTTGGAATTTATCAGAAAAAAATATATATTTGATTTAAAAGAAAACAGTGTATCTAGATTAAATTTCATTAAGTTTTGAGAAAATTAACATGTAACATATTTCTGAATTGTTAAAAAGAAAAGAGTGAGAGTAAAAAAAATTTTCATAGTCAGAATATGAAAAATGCTTACCTTACACATCTCTCATGTAGCTCAATCGAATCAAAAGAATAGTGTGCTGCAGCTAGTAGAGAACTATGTGACCGACTTTTTGGTCATGACCGCAAGGCAAGTTTTTATTTGTCACATGATTGAATTTTCAAAAATGTGTTCTGTATTTTTTGTTCATATTGACTTGCGACAATCACTGAGATGAACTTTATTTCAATCTAATTTGTTAAACTCAGCTTTCAATCATTGATAAGATGCAATGTATGTGAACCGATATGTCTCGGTTTTTGTTTTCCGAAATAGTATGAAGTCAAGTACTAATATAAATGGGAAATTTCATGATTGACTTTTTTTTGTTACGATCACGTTATTACTCTGTCCATGAACGTCGCTATGACGATCTAGCAGTTCTGTAGTAGAAAGACTGAGAATTTCAACAAAAAAGATATTCTTTACTTTTTTTTTGCATTATACTAATTCATACACAAGTCAAGAAATAATAGTAGTGATGTCTCATTAGAATCAATCAATGTCAAGCTTTTAGCATTAAATTAGCATTATTTTTTAGTCTTATATATAGGCTGATGATGACTAGATTTCGAACATTCTAACCTCAAGACTTTCCAAAACTAAACAACTTTGTTCTGTGAAGAGAAAATTTTGAGTATGAATTCTCAGAGGTATAGTCGTAGGCAGCCTATCTATTAGAATTAGAAATAATGCTAATTTAATGCTAACACCTTGGGATTAATTAATTCTAATGCAAATGAAACTAATGTTAATTTGACACTTCTAAATAAAAGTATCATTTTTTTTTCGATTTAGAAATTGTAAATGACAAACCATCTAAACATTCTATCGTATTTATAAGACTATCATAATGTCGATCATGAAGATTATCTATAACGATGGTTATGCTCCTATACCTAAATCTGCAATGAATTGAGTATAGAAATAATGAAAGCGACTCTCTTTTTCTTTGAGGAAATTTTATAAATGAACAAATATTTGGATGATTAAGATGTATTCGAAGATTAAAACGATCGTAAAATACTAAATAAAACATAAGTCAACATTTACTGGAGACATCATGTTTTGAAATATTTTTCCTTTCGGTCGTTCTATGGCCAATCATAACAATGCTTGCTTGAATAAGAGAGAAAATACGATGATCAATACTTTTCTTTTTATGGTCTACTGGATAACATGAAATAAAAAAAACAAAAGACTATACGCGTCTGTCGATCTTCTATTATGTGCCACTGAGTGTCAATGGTCTGTTATATTTCTTTTTTTTTTTTTTTTATATTAAAGTTTATTAATTTTTTGAGCAGCTGTGAAAATATATGTTATAGACATGGATGATAGGTAGCAGAATCATTAAACACGATTGATAGATCTATAATTCAATGAGCGTTCTAACAGATCGACATTGAATTAAGAGTAGTAGTGTTTAGATTTTCCGAATAAAGGAAATTTTGGAAATTACCAAAATTTGCTAGATATTACATTCTTATGTGTTGTTTATTTTGGAAATTTCCTTTTTCTGGAATTTGAACATACCTCCTTGTTCTAGTCTTTACAATATGAATAATAACATTGTCTATACATATTTTCATGTAGCTAACTTTTATAATCATTGAGATTCAAGAAATTGAATGATACTCTTTAGCAAAAGAATAGACAATCGACGTTTTAATACTTGAAAAACAATACATTCAAAATTGATTTTTATCCTTACCATTCTTTATCGTAGATTCATATTGATTTATTTTTATAAAATATTAANGATTGATAGATCTATAATTCAATGAGCGTTCTAACAGATCGACATTGAATTAAGAGTAGTAGTGTTTAGATTTTCCGAATAAAGGAAATTTTGGAAATTACCAAAATTTGCTAGATATTACATTCTTATGTGTTGTTTATTTTGGAAATTTCCTTTTTTCTGGAATTTGAACATACCTCCTTGTTCTTGTCTTTACAATATGAATAATAACATTGTCTATACATATTTTCAGGTAGCTAACTTTTATAATCATTGAGATTCAAGAAATTGAATGATACTCTTTAGCAAAAGAATAGACAATCGACGTTTTAGTACTTGAAAAACAATACATTCAAAATTGATTTTTATCCTTACCATTCTTTATCGTAGATTCATATTGATTTATTTTTATAAAATATTAAAATTTTAACAAACATTCTTTCATTTAGAATTATTACCAAGTCAAATGAATGTACTCGTTGATTTATTAAGCAATGTACCAAAAACTATTATTCAAGATGAAATTGTCTCAGTAAGAATTTTCATAATAAAAAAAAATTGATTATTTTTTGAATTTATTTTCAAATAGTTATTACCTATTTTAATTCGAGCATTAGCATCATCAAATGAATCAGTTTGGCCATCAGCACTTAATTCAATATGTGATTTAATTAAATCTGAACCAAATAGAATAGTTGATCATATTGATACACTTTTTTCACGCTTAATAGCTTTAGCAACTTATCAAAAAGATATGGTAAAATAAAAAATAAAATTCAACAAAAAGAAAAACAGAATTAAATTTGTTTTTTTTTCTAGTCAATTCGTATTACAAGTTTAAAATGCTTGAAAAATTTATCAAATTTACCCATACATATAATTGAGCCATATCGACGTCATATAATACATCTATTAAAAAAATGTGTTGACGATCGTAAACGTCTTGTAAGAAGACAAGCTGTCGAAACACAAATGTCATGGTAAATTTATTTATAGAATTTTTCTTTTTTTTTCTAAGAAAAAAGAAACAAAATAAATATTTGTGTTTTAGGTGTTTATTGAATGCATAATTAACAAAAATTATTATAGACTGATTTCGGTTTTTTTTTATCTAACTTTAGAATTCTCGTGATGATTTGTTTTGATGTAAATCACGTGATTTTTGTTTGTTTTATTTTAGATAGATTTTAGAAAAATACAAATATTATAATCTATCTTAAATTTGAAATATTACTTGAAATATTCTTTTACATATTCGCGATATAGAATACCATGTTAGATATTTATATTTGGTTACACATTTGATATATGCTTTATTACGATTAAATAATTATTAACAATTAAAAAGAAAATAAACAAGTACAACGTAATAATAATTAATGAAAAGTAAATATCAAGTGCAGCAAATCAAATATATAGAAAAAGAAAGACAAAATCCAGATTTTACAACCCCTGGAGATTTACTGTAAGAAATCAGAAAGCTGTCAGGAGATTTTTATATTAAATTACATTATTACATTGCAATTTCTTTCTAGAAGAATGATAAAACTTTCTATTCGATGAGCATTTTTCTTGCTATCATATTAGCTTGATCATGAATATATTTTCTTAGAAATCATTTAAAATGAACAAAGAAGGATAATCATTAAACCTTCTATCATCAGCTATTTCTCGACAGTTTAATTGAAGTATAAACACAAAAGTTAATTGAAAACCTAATATGAACAATAAAAAATAAGTCTATATGGAAAGCAAATTATTTGCCTGCACTCTACGAACATGACTGTATTGCTGTTAGGAAAAGATTTTTGTTTAAAGTGTATTAACAAGGAAAATCTTCCAACTGATCAAACGCTCTTGGATTAAGACTAAGGACATTTTGTAGATTCAGATGAACTATGAATAGAGTTCGTGCTCTTATTTTATTTCTTTTGAGATGCTGTATTTTCACGGTATTTTTTTAAAATGAATACCGTGGTAACAGAAAAACTTATTTTCAAATTTCGATTTGAAACTTCTCGTAGAGGCAGACCTAGTTTTTTTTTGTGAATGTTTCAGATTTTGTTGTTGTTCTTATCCTAAGATACAACTATGGTTACAGTGTGTCTTTGACATCACATATATAAACTGCCAAATTTGATGTTCTTATTTCAGGATAGAAGTAAATCAATGCTTTCTCAACCTTCAAAGAAAAGTCAATTTTCGTCAAAAAAAAAAAGAAAATTAAGATAAATGCATGGAACAATAGCCCGAGGCCTAATCCTTTATAAATGACATGACTTTTTATTTGGCACTTCCTTTTTTTTGCCGATATTTTTGGTGATTTCTGTCATCACATACTTGAAAGACAGGCTATTTTTAGAAAAAGCGGGAACCAGGGGCGTACCCAGGGGGGGTGCCCTCAGGTGCCCGGGCACCCCCCTCAGCCAAAAAAAGCCTGGAGGGGGGTACGGGTAAAAGATTTTTTCGGGAAACAAAAATTAATTTTTCTGCTAGTATCTAGCCCCATAANACTGAACTGCATCAGTTTTAAGGAACACCCTAAAGTGCTTTTTGTCCGATTTTCCCATAGGAAATGGTGAAAATACCATTTTTGAGTGTTTCTTAAAACTGATGCAGTTCAGTAAAAAATTGTCATGGAGAGCTCGAAGACATCTCATTTTGTAGAGAATTCGTTGCTCTATCATCCTGTGTAATCAAAAGAAACTTTTATTTTCGGGGTCTGGGTGCTGAAAAAATAGGTTTTCGGTTTTCCAAAGATCCTGGTTTTGAGGAATAAGATGAGAATTTCATCTTTCTGGGACCTTTATTGGAAACAATTTTCTCTATCCAAATCACTATTTCGATTCTTCATAGGAGTTACCATTAGGGAAAAAAATCGAAATTACACCTGTATGAATAATTTTTGGAGCCACTGTATATATATATGAAATACTTCCTTAAAATCTCCATGTTATTAGCCATAGCTAACTGTATCGTGTTTCATATTTTAATCCCGCAGGGATTGTGCTAACAATTTTTTTCCTAGCATTTCAATAAAAAAAATTGGTCTTTTATAATTAAATATTATTACTATTTTGTATTTGAATCGTTAATTCATATTTATAGTATCACATATGTAAGGATTTGATATGTATTCTTCAATTAGTTGATCAAATTTACAAAACAGATTTTTTTTTGTTTTTCATACTCATATTTTTGTTTTTCTTTTTATCTATTCTCGTGAGATACATAATTTATTAAATTAATAAAGTGTTCATCTAATTATATCATTTCGATATACATGAATTTTTCTTGCACTCTTATAAAGACTATCTTCTTTTTCACACTCAATTATCATCATGGAAACAACAAGATGTATAAGTCTAATTAGAACTGTGATTATTAGTGTCGAATAAAGACTAATAAATATAAAATTTGCCTCTCAAACTACAGAAATTATCTACGATCTTTAGTTTCTATTAATTCGACAGTCTCGATTACGTTGGCCATAAAAATGTAGAAACATGCCGGTTCATTCCTAGCTTTGTTAAAAATTATTTTAGGTTTACTGATAGCCTACCGACAGCTTTATACATCTGAAACTAAGAAAAACTTTAAAACAAAAAAGTCAGGACTATGCTTTACCAAGCCAGAGTTATGACGATTTTAATAGGATTTTTAGCCTCTGTCATGCATGCTATTCATGGAAAATTCAATTACGCAATTTTCATCTGAAGTTTCGTCTATAGGCAGGTCTCACGACCAGTTCAGATCTCAAGTTTCTATGACTTGCCTTGTAATATATAAGCATACGCTGCATACTCAATATCTCGAGAAGACTGTATTCATTTGCACTGAAATTTTTAGTACATCTTTAATAGCCATCAGACCTATCTATAAGCAAAACTTCAAATGAATAGTTAGTCCACCAGAGGCCAAAACTCAATAAAGCAGCCATAATTATAACTGGGTAATCCATAAACCGAAATCCTATGTTTCCTCATTAATTTTTGAATCTCCTAAGACACATATAATTGTTTGATTATTTTGCATTGTAAAAATTTTACGAAAACTATTAACTAATTTTTGATTTCTTTTGAATAAAAAAAAATATCTTAAAATTTACCTGTCCAAGTGGTACATGTTTTGGTGACACAACAATCATTCGACAAAGACAACTGCAAATATTATCAATCATACGTAGATTTGTTTCTTTAATTAAAACTTGAGAAAGACGATTTAATATTGTTTCATATTGACTAAGTAATTGTTGATTAGCTACAGCACAAAGAACACCCATACCAAAACATGCATTTGTTCGTACTTCTTCATCATCATCAAGTAAATATTGATAAAACACTAGAGAGAGAAAAATATATATTGTTTTATTTTTTAAATTATCTTAATTAAAAAAAAAAGAGAAAATCATATATACTCGTAAAAAGTGATTGTAAATATGGTGTAACTAATATTTCATTCATATTTTGTACTGTTTCAGCAAGTACACCAATAACAAACGATCTATCGGATACACTTGCTTGATGTCTCTATAGATAAGAAAAATTTTTAAAAATTAATTTTTTTGAAAAAGAAAATTTCTTAACTAACAAGTCGTTTTTGTAATTTTGGTATAATTGATGATAAATAACCAGGAAAAAATTGAACTTTACCAGTACATGCAATTGATGTTAATACTGGTAGAAGATCTCCACCAGTTGATATTAACATAGCATCGTATTCAGCATCATCTCGGCCATCTTGTTCTCGACTATCACCACCAGCATTTTCATCATTTTCATCATCACTTTCTTGTTGACATTTTGTCTTGAAAAAAGAAATGAAAAACTAAATTCATATTATTAATATTTCTCATCTTACTTTATAAGCAAGAACTTTTTGAACACAGTGAGCAATTTTTTCCAATAATGTTATATGTTTAAGCATATCTAATTTAACTTCTTCTAATATATTTTTTATTGTATCAAGTGCTATTTGTGCTAATGAACGACTTGTTGATGTATTTATAATTATACATAAATTTGGTATTAAATCAGCTAATAAACGATCGGATTCTAGAATACAAAAACAAAAACGAAAAAAAAACATTTTTTATCGCAAAAAAAATTAGATTTATATTTATACCATCTTGAACAAGTTGTTTTTCATGTGTTATTTGTGTTTGTGTCGTCATTTTATGAATAGATATAATAAGATTTCCTGCAGCTGTTACTGCATTTTGTGAACATTGAAGATTTGGAAATTCTAACATATTTTTTATATGTTCAATTATATCTTTTAGATATGGCCAAACAGCAACTCTATATAGAAACATCAATACTAATAGTCAGAATATCTTTCATAAAAAATAATTATCTCCTTTAGACATACATTCAACTAGAACATTTGAGTTCGAATTTAGTTTTGAATGTGAGTCATTTTTAATTAATTAATTTAAAGGAAGCAGAAGTAAGCCACGAAAAAAAAGCATCTCCGGCTTACGAGGGAACTACCCCAAGTGATTAACCGCTTTTGAGCTCATACTTTTGGGATAAGTAGGAGACCCCGGCACTAGAATAACCCTAAGAGGATTTGGGCCCATGCACGTGTGGGGCTGAGTTATAACCGTTTTACTCGATTTTTGCCCTAGGGCACTGGTTCACCTGCAAAACAAAATCAACGAATTTCGATCTGAAATTTTGTCCACGAAGAGGCCTAATGGCCACTAGAATACCCTGAAAGTTTCAGACAAAACGAATGTATCCTTCTTAAGATATTGAATTTTCAAAAACCGACTATTTCTCGAAAAGAATTAGCAGACCCGGAATTTATTGTGGAGTCAATATCTTAAGAAGGATGCATTCGTTTTGTCTGAAACTTTCAGGGTATTCTAGTGGCCATTAGGCCTCTTCGTGGACAAAATTTCAGATCGAAATTCGTTGATTTGGTTTTGCAGGTGAACCAGTGCCCTAGGGCAAAAATCGAGTAAAACGGTTATAACTCAGCCCCAAAGGTGCATGGGCCCAAATCCTCTTAGGGTTATTCTAGTGTCGGGGTCTCCTACTTATCCCCAAAGTATGAGCTCAAAAGCGATGAATCACTTGGGGTAGTTCCCTCGTTAGTTACAGTTATTTCACATCAAACTAAAACATCTTTTTATGACTATAATGATTTTTCTCATAATAACACTTCATTTGATAACTTCATCATTGAAGTTATGCTGAACTATTCAATTTATTATGACCATGAATGATTATTGATGTTAGATTTAAGAAAAAGTCAGCTAACGAAATATGAATATAATTGAAAAGAGCACAATCTCTCTTTAACTTTCAATTATATAATATTGTTGACTTTTTTTTAGAAAGCCTGCAGACTTTCAGCTTTTCGATCATTTATTCTACTATGTATACATCTACCATAGTCTAGTCTGAAATTCTGTCTCATCTCTGCTGCCTATTATTAATTAACTGAAAATGACTACATTCAAAACCGTACTCAAACGTGCGTGGTTTGATGTACGCCTAATGAAAATAGATACTTTCTATCTATGTGTAGAATATTAAAAAAAAAGACCATAGTTTAAATTTTGTTTATATTCCATTAATATAGAAATAAAATAAGCATAAATAAAATGTTCTAGTGTTAATTTATATATACATCAAAAGATTCTCTACGATCAATTATAAACAAAAAGATTTTATATAAAATCTAATCTATAAGGATATTCCTTCCGATTGGTAGGTCTATTATTATATATATGTTAAATTTCTACAATTTTAATTTGCTCAACAATCATAAAGAGGTGAGTTTATTTAATCATCTATCAGCTCCACGATATATATACATTACATATGTTTTGATATTGTGAAACATTTATATAACAGAATTAATTAACTATAGCATTTTTTTTTCGAATTCTTACCTTTCGTTTTTTCTTGCACGTAATTATACTCATTTTCTTATTTAGAATAGTTCGCTATACAATATTACGTTCTGCTCGAACACATGAATAGATATATGGTGGTGGCGTGAGTGCATGTTTTGCGTCGGTGTTAGAATGCTAATGCATGTATATATATATATATAAATATAGAGTCCATAGCCTAACTCACTTATAGGCACGAAAATAATAATAAATTATCCTCCTTGAACCTTGCTGGTTTTTCATGTTCTAATAAAAGATAATACAAAATTATTTTTATTTTCGAAAAGTCAAATTTTCTAGAAAATAAAAACCTGCAAGATCTGTATTATTCATTGGATGCACATTGATTCTTGTTATTGCTATTCTTTTTTTGAAAACTTTCTTTTTCTTTGCTTATATATATCATATATCAATAATTCTTATTTAATATATCTTTTTTGTTTTGTTTTTGTCTTATGTCTATTGTAGTATTAATTCATCATATTATCAAAATAATTACATTGGTCAAACTGAATCAAGATCAAAAAATTATTCGAATTCTTATAATTCAAAAGAATCGAATACAATAAAATGTTTACAAAAATTTCTTGAAAATAAAACAAATGACTCATTTATACAACAACAAATGGATTATTCAATAAATGAAAAAGTTAAATATTCATCTTCAACAACAAATAATGATAATTCACATTGGTCTTCTACAAAAACAAAATCTGATACAATCGTACAAAATAATAATAATAATAATAATCAAAAATTTACTTATAGTGATGCTGAAAAATTATTAACTATGGTGCAACGCTTGCGTAATTAATAGATAAAAATATCATTTGCCGTTTTTGTATCATTTTTTTGTTCTTACATGTTCCTTTTTTGTCGTTGTTGTTTTTTTGTTAACTACTCTTTCGTTTTTCTTTTTTTGTGTTTGTATATTATGACGTGTGTGCTTAGTAGATTGATCGAATGAATTCAACGACAGTGAATATTCCCTTATAGAAATTCCTTGCAAGTAATTTAATTCCTCTTTTAAATGTAAAATCCATATTATTCTCTATGAATACCGACAGTCTATTGTAATCGAAATTTTGTGTTTTTCTTTTCACTGTGTTTATTGTTGTAACATAGACAAGCATGTGCTGTTTTTATGCATATATTGTATATTTCAGTGTATAGAAACAAAATATCTGTGCTTGCATATGCGAATAATTTTTTTAAAAAGTCCGAGAAAATATAAAAAATTTTACTAAATTGTTTTTATTTCATACATTTTATTTATGTACTAAAAAATGTGAATAACTATACATGATATTTCATTATAATGAATTAATATTTACTGCAGAAAAAAAAAACATTCCAATCGATTTCCATTGATCAAATACATTTATATATTTGAATTATTATTGAAAATAGATTAACATTTTGAAGGTTATGTTTTAATTAATAGTTTCCAAGAAATTTATTCGTACACAAATAACATATCTGTAAATTCAGAGGAACACTAATATTATTTAAATTGAATATCATATAATATAACAGCATAATCAATATCGACAATAGTCAAAGAAAAGTGTAAGGTGTGAGTGAGTGTGTCTTCTTTCCAGTTATACTCACGCCCATTCACACCCCACCCTCAGACAGATAAATCAAAGGAACAAAATGATGATCAAAACAAATACATCACTCACGTCAGAAACTAAATAGTACATCACAAGAATATATCGAGGTTCCGAGATTTCGCCAATCAGACTTTGGTCAACATTCTCTTCTCCGGAATTTCCCCAATATACGCGTGGATGTTCGCCATTGGCGAATGTTCTTGAATGAAATGTTATTCATTAATACAGTTAATCAATATAAATCAACATGTGATTTTGAAATTGTAGCCATGGACGAACCATCAGAAGGCATTTAGTGCCAATTGTCACATCTAGAAAATCAATCTTTATCAAAGTTAGAACATATTCAGCTACTTGATGCGCTCTACTGGACAATAGTACAAATGTTGAAGAAATGTAGAATCATACGAATTATTAACTACAACAATAGTAACAAAGCTTAATTCAAAGAAGGGACTTGGTCATACCTGCATAATAAAATACTCCATGAAACATAAAACAAATCACGTATAGAGAATGATGGTCAACAGAGACTTTCGGGTTGTATAATCAAAACAGCATGTACACAGAAAAAACGAAGAACAATCTCCTGATTTTTCTGAAAAACAGTGTATTCCTGAGGCAGATGATGACAAATGTCATCAAAAATTTTGGCCAGCAAAAAGAAAGTGTCCAGTAAAAATCATCTCATTTTTTCTTAATTTTCATTTTCTTAAGGAAAATTGGCTTCTTTTTAAGGTGAAGAGAGTGAGGAGCCTTAACTTTTTTCTCTAAAAGGCGAACCGATATAATGCCACACCCAAATTTTGAATGCTGGCCCACCCATGATTATAGTACTGCATGAGTTTAATAATATTTACATTATGCTATCATGATATGTTCAATGCACTAGCAATCATATATATTCGCTAATGATTTGTCAATCTCTTTTGTACTTTCGTGAGTATGAGTATTTTTTGATCAAACCAAATTCATTGAGTTCAAAAAAAATCTAACCAAGTAAATGTCTATAAATATTATTTCAATTCAAATATTTACATTGTTATTCTTATTTATAAGTAGTGAAGTAGACAATCATTTACAGATTAGTACGTTTCGTAGAAATCAAATTCTAAAGTTAAAGAATACTTTGTTTTCCATTGTAGTTTTGTAATATTAATAAAATTGAAAATCTGATCAACTCATTATTAAATCTATGAAAAGCATTGTTATTTTAAGTATAAAAATTTTTTCTATTGATGTCTTGTGTTTCACTTTGAATTTATTAAAAACGCATATTTTTCGAAGCATATTAGATACTCTTCATGGATGACATACTTATGGTTCTGTAACTTTTTTTCGTCACGTCACACACACGAACCGTCTTCAACCTTCAAATGCTCATAAAAAACAAATTGTATTGCTCACTGTAAAACTTCAAGTATAAGAAAAGTTTCAATCAATTGCATATCGAATAATTTACAATAAGTAATTGGTTTTTTTCCTTGCTTTGACCTCTTAACGAAATCAAAATCAAAAAGAAACAAGACAACGAATATCAGTCAATAGAACTCATAAATATATTATATATGTAAATATATGGATATAAACGCATGCTATATAAATTACACTACATTCGATAGACTTCTTTTTTTCTCAAGGTTATGAAAAGCCAATACACATAAAATATATATGTATGTATCTATGCATTTATATATTTCTGTTGTCATTTTGTACAAATTCAATACATTGTAATTGTTTTGTACCATTAGCAATTAATATTTGATTTGTTGTATGTGCTGTTAATGCTCGACCTGTACGATGTAATTTAACATATTCTTTTTTTCCATAACGATCAACAATCCATAACTTTTTTTTTCCATTTGTTATAAAAAATATTCCATCATTATTTACTCGAATTTCATGATCAAAATCACATTCACCTAAATTTATTGTACATAATTCGTGTAAATCTATATTATCACAAAATGTAACATGAAATTTTTTTTTATATGCCATTGTATTTGTTGTTTGTTTAAATTGAAATACAGTTGCAATAAGATTTGCGTGAATACAAAATGATGTACTATTGTCCGAAAAAAGTGAATAATTATTTAAATCAAATAGTTTTATACGATCAAATGTTTTTGCTGAATAAACATGTAATTGACTTAAATGTGGAATATCGGTCCAAAGCCATAGAAAGTTTTTATCAGCTGATAATCTTATATAAGACCAGGATTGTGTTATTTGCAATTGTATATCAATAGTTGAATCGTCATTATCTGAATCAATAGTACATGTATAAACACCTGTTTTAGTTGCACAAACAAATTGTGATGAAGCTGATGAATAAACTAAATCAAGTATAGGATAATGTGGCCATCGGCATGTTATTTCTTTTGTTCTTGATGTTCCATTAACTTGTTGATCAGATAAAATTTTTAGAATATAACAAAGTGATTTTGATGTGTCAGAAAAATAAAGTAAATGTTCACCATCACTGGCAATACGATCAACTTCATTTTCTGTTAAGATTGTACCTTGATTAATAAAGTGTTTACTTAAACAATGTTCTGTATGAGTTGAATTATTTAATTCATTATTTATTTCTTCATGTAAAGAAAAATATTCGTCTTCATCATTATCAATAACATCATCAACATATGTATTATGATTAGATTCAATAATAGAATCAGTTTGTATTTCTTTTGTTGAATAAAGATTTTCATTAAGTTCTTCAACTTCTGTATCGACATCAATTTTTTCATTATCATATTCCGTATGTTGACTACATAAACATTTTGTTGATATAATTTTACCTGGATAAGAACAAGAAAATTTTTTTGCTGTTGTACATAAATTTAATAATAATTGACAATCTAAATCAAGTTTATTTCGTGGATATGTAGACATTTTTAATTGCATACTAGGTAAAGAAAATGTATTTAAGTGTTCTTGAATTTCATTAATTTGTTTACGTTGAATATCCAGTTCAAGAATAACATTTTTTGTTATACCATCACGAGTCCAATTTTGTTGTGATTTAGTTATTAATGAATTGACATTTGCAATCATATCTGATATAACAATCTAGAAATATTTGATTTCTTATTTTTTAATTTAAAACAATAAGAAAAAAAAACTTACTTGAGATTCATTAAATTGTTGTTTGATATAATCAATACTTTCTTTTCGAAGAGTTTGCAAATCATTAAGTACTTCATCAAAAGCAGTATTAACAGTGCGTACACACTGTTCTTCTAATGTTTTAAGTAATTTTCGTTTATTATTAAATACATCAGCTAATTGTGTATAGCGTTTTTGTATTTGGGAATATTCATCAATTAATTGAGCTGTGTGTTTTTCAAAACAATCATAACACATTGATAAGCGACAATGATCACAAGAAAAACATGATAAACGTTTATTACCAGTAACTGATGATGTATATGTACATATTTGACAGTAATGATCATTAATTGTTCGTGTTTTCGAATGTATGCTCATGATTATTTTCTAATATACTAATTCTAAATTTGCCACACAATTACCAACAAAAAGAAAAAAAAGTAATCTTTAAATGCTCGTCACTGTTATGCTGTTTCTCGCCTTTTTTTTCTATTTCTATTTCTTCTTGTGTTGTTTGATTAACATTGAGAAGAATAGTAGTAGTAGTAAACGAGAAAAATGAACAATAATAGCATCTGGTATGCAGCGACAATCAACAATCTTCACTTGCTTGAAAAAATATGAGACAAAAAAATTTTCTCTTTCTGTCTTTCTCGTTGTCTCTTAGAACTATTGTTATTATTTTAAATAGACATGCAGAAAATTGAATTGTTTTTCTTTTTCAAGATAAGTCTAACGTGAATACCAAAGTGGGAAAAGAAATTTGTTACCTGTAAATGGCTCTTATTTGAAGTTCACTTTAGATTACACACATGTATACTTTAAATGGTTGTCAATGTCTGGAATTTCTCGAGTAGTATTAATAGTAGTTATTACTTTATGTTAACGACATTGTGGATTCTTAAGATAATTTTATCATTGAAATTTAAAAGTTTCGTGATTTTTTTTTATTATGATATTTTTCTCAATAATAAATCTGATGTTTTATTTTAGAAAAAGATTTCTTTGTTTCTTGACGAATTTTTGGACCTAACATTTGTCCAATTAATAAATAATAATTTCCATATGCAACTAAAAATAAAAATGGGCGATTAGCAAAATAACATCCATGGAGTTGTTGGTGAAAAATTAATCGAATGTAAATAATGTGACGATGAAGGTTTTATTTTATCCGTACTCATATCAAGAATAAAATGACCTAGAGAATGTGCAGCAACTAGAATTAAACAAAAACAACTCGTATAAAATCAAAAAAGAAAGAAAAGCTTTCAACTTGATTACAAACACAAATGAATTTCTTCATTTAATTCTTCTAAAACATGCTCATTATTTAAATCATTTATAAATTTCAATGATTCAATAAGATTAATATGAATATCCATGGATATGTTTGGTATACATACAGCAATATATGCTGATAAAAGTGGTAGATTAAGATATTCTTTTATATTCGCACAAAGATGAATAAGACTAGATGAACACCTAAAATAAATGAAATAAAAAATATACCTTTTTTTTTCTAAAATAATCTTTTGAATGAATAACTGTGGAAATAGAATGATTAATTTCATTTGAATTCCATCGAATATTTGACCAGGTATTTCAATTTTATGAAATGTATCATGAAAAGCAACATGGAAAAAACTTTTGTAAAATAGAATTCTGTTTCAATTGATAAATGAATATTTGAATGAAATTTGAATGACCTGATTTCAATTAAAACAAAAACAATACATATTTAATTAGTTCTTTTATTTTGAAGTATGCTTAGATTTCCAAAACTATTAACATATGAGAAGATAATCTCAAAGGAAGTGTCCTAATTACCGATTCATAAGAAAAAACTATCCAAGAAATTTTGGAAACTATTCAAGCATAAGAAGGAAATTCTGAGAAAACTGTATTATAGACTTCAGATATTACTAAGAAATTTCAATATTTACTTGTTATTTTTCGAAACTATTGAAATTTTCTTTTTATATAATTGTTTTTCTTTACTCTCTCTCTTATATTTGATTATTTCAGAATGTAACTCTTGAGGAGTTCGACGAAAAAATCTGAAGTTTTCCTCATGACCTAACTTCTGACGGGCTTTCTATTGAGCGCAAAACAAAATCAGGTGTTAACATTTTTGGAGTTATGCGTAATTGAAAATTCCTCGAATTTCTCTTGGACCTTTGTTAATACATCTTCTCAATATTGAAACTATCAAACAAAAGGAAAAAAACTACATGTTCTTTTATCGCACTTTTATTGTTGCTGAAAAACACATATATCCAAGTTTATTTGAGTCGATCATTGGCTTTCTTTCTCTATTGTTCCATGAATATACAAAGAATCACATAAAATATCGAAAAACGAGAAATGATTGATCATATTTGAAGAATAAAGACATTGAACTAGAAGAAAAAGAAAGCATCTAATTCTAAGATTAATATATAGCAAAAAACAACAAATCACAAGTATTTATGTGCATTCGATCAAGCATCCAAAAGTAAGAGAAGAATAATAAGAAGAAGACAAAGTAAATCTGATTAAGATCAATTATAAGCGCAACAAAACATTATGAAAATGAAATAAGAAAGTCAATGGCTGGCAAGAAAAGTCAGCACAAAGAAAAAGAATTACTATATTTGATAAGGATGGTAACTACAAACCAGTGTCAAACATTAGACACCAAGATTATTTAATGAAAGAAAAGTTAACAACCGATTCGAGTATTTTCCATGACGATTCGCCTGAGAGACTAAGCCACAAAAGCAACCTCGTAACCCACCTACAACTCCATCAGCTCTGTCTAACGATNACTTCTGTCGATTGTAATTACATTTGTTTTACTGAAATACATGATTAAAAAACTGAGCAAAAATGAATTAAATACTGAATATTTTTAAGTTAATTACTGAACTTCTTGAATTATGTACTGAGCAAAAAGTAATTTTTTACTGAACAAAAACTACTGAACATATGATAAAAATTTACTGAACATTGACAATAAAATACTGAACAATTAAATACAAGCCAAAAAAAAGATCTCTTATAGACGAAAGTTTCCTTCTAACGATCGACGATCGTTAGAAAGTTATTGTTTTGTTGGTTCGATTTATCTTAATTTAATATTATTGGTATTATTCTGAGAAGTGAATTAGCTGAAAAAAATAATAAGCCGCGGTACACATCCTTTATATGCACAGTAGAATCTAATGTATCATTATGCATCTTGATAAATTCAGAAACACTGATAGTAAGTATTTCCGAAAGTTAGGACTTTATTAGTTCATGCTTTTTTTGTTGATCATATGATGACTGTAGCAAATCAATACCTTACTGGCCATCATCTTTGGTATCTGCCACATAATTGCTTCTCTATTGAAAATATTCAAAAATGTATTTCAATCATTCATATTTCAAGAAAGGCTTTGAAATATTCTACAATAGGTTAACCGAGAACCTCTCAAAGTATCGAATCGGTTCTCGACTGTGACGATGTTTATTTGATGATTACTAGTGAGTAACAAAGATTTCTAGAATGGCTTAGTTTTTTGGGTCTATATTCTTGAGATATCAAAGTTTTACTGGATTTCTCAACAAAAAGTTGTAGTTACGTGAAAAATCAACTTTCAAGTTTTGATTTCAAACTGTTCATAAGTAAAGTTCTCAATTAGATTAGTTCATCAGACAATGTTTAGCTTTTGCTATTATTTTCGTTTTGGAGATGTAAACATATGAACAAAATTTGCTTTTACACATGAGAGAATTTTGAATATTCCATATCTTATTGAGAACTTTGTTCCTGCAAAGTTTAAAGTCAAAACTCCTACGTAATCTGAAGAAAATCACTGCTTTTTCTTGAAAATCTCTCTAAAATTTCGACATCTCAAGAACGAAGGTCTAAATAAACCAAATCACTCATTCTAGACTTTTCTATTACTCATTAACGTTTATCGAATGAACATCCTCACTGTCGAAAAATGATTTGAAACCTGGAGAAGTTTCCTCGTAAAGTTTTTTGTGAGTGGCATTCAGCATCTTTTTCCGTTGCTAAAGAATTACGTAAAACGAGTCTAACTCTTATTGTTTTTAATTGCTAGGAATTGATTTGTATCCAATGATCTTTGAGCCTGATTACAAGAGTGTAAACGAGCCGCAAAACTTCGATTATTTTCTTTGAAAACAGATATGAGTTCTATAATAGAAAAATAAAATACACAAACCTGAACGTATATGACCATTAGTTGTTTTAACTGTATATAGAAGATCTTCATTAGGAAATGTATGTGATGTTGATAAACGATAGGATAATTGAGAAATTGATCGTTGCAGAACTAAAAGCTTTGACAAATACATCTGAAAAAAATAACAGAACAAAAATAACACATATAGAACAATGAAGAGAATTTGAATTTAAATTTGATTTCTATTAAGTTAATTTATTTTCGTTTTCATAGATAGATATTGCATAATTCGACCATGATTGATTAAGTGGAAGTATAAAAAGTAAACCAGATTCACCACCAAATGCATACCAACTATATGAGCCAAGATTTGGATTAAAACGAATCTAATTGATTAAAAATGAATTATTTCTTTTTGTATATATTATTCAAAGAAAAAAAAAACAAAAAGAAATATTACTTTATGTAAAGCATTTAATGAATAACTTCCAGCTTTACTAAAATCATCTTGTTTACTAACAAATTTTTGCTAAAGAATAGAAATATAATTAGGTTTTTTTTTGCAAACGTTTGAAAATAAATTACTTCACAACATAGATTTGTATCGAGATAATATTTATCAACTAAATCTGTATATGACGATTGTTCAAAAATTGGTTCACCAACTTCTTGATTAACTAAAATATACATGATCAAATATCAGATTTATTCTCATTACTCCTTTCAAAATATAATTTTTATAAAAAAAAAAGAGAAAAACAAAAACCATGAAAATCTTATGTTATTTTTCAAATTGACACAAGAGAATTTATAAATTGATATTTATTTTCGCTAAAATCTGAGAGGAACGGTTGATGACTCAAGAGATCGATACGAACGTTTTTACTAAAGTTCACTGGAATTCGATTGCTGTTTTTCGGGAATTAGTGAGTTAAAAAAAAACAATAAAACGCCGAAACCCCGCTGGAGAAAAACGAAAATCTGTTAACACCATCCCTGTCAGATTAAAACATGAAACGCAATGTAACTGCTCTTGTTAATCACAGGATGATTGTTTTATTCTACCTAGGGATCTAAAACCTTGACGTAAATTGCTAGGTGGCGTCATCTTTCGTACATCATCTTTTTCTTCGTCCTATCATCGTTGTGACATGACGTTATCATACATATATGCGTATATTCGTATTCCACTTATATCTTCTTTCGTTCTGTTGTCATGCGTGAATAGATATATGTTCTCTCCTCGAGTATGTTCACTTACATTTGTTTTCTATCTGTATGAATCTTGTATACTCTCGCTGGCGAGCCCTTGACTCTCTACTACTTTCTAGGCAAATTCCTTTTATTAAGGTTGATTGTACATAACCGATAAAATAAAACTTCACTCTGACTTACCACTGAATAGTGAGTTACTAACACAGAGTTTACTAGGGCACGAATTACATTGGCATTTTTTAGGTCTCAATATCAGAGGGTATGAAGTAGACTAAGTTGTCCTTTGCACTTTTTACGTTACATCTGCAAAAAATCCCAGCTCAGAAAATTGTCTGTCAGTTTCTGTTAGACAGATTGTCAGGCAAATTTTTAGTCTTTTTCACTTCTAAAAACTATCAAGAGTCCTACTAGCATCTGCATCGACTGAAATACTGATTATACTAACATCCGTGCTCGCTGCAACATTGCAACACCAACTCTATCATAATATTCCCCTTTTTGTAACTGTATGTTCCAATGCTTCAGTGAATACTGCTGTCAGTGTGTCTGTGTAATCAGTAAAGTAAAGCTGCATATACCTAATTCTATTCAGTCTAGGACACATTTCTTTACTAATCTTTTACTTAATTCTCCAGAAATGCAGCAGCTAGTTCATATATTCTAGCGAGACGTTATTGCTATACACTTTTAGATCGTATTTCACAAAGTTTTTCAAGATTGGTTGTATCATCTCTGATTCAGTAGTCTTACTAATAGAAAAAAAAATATTTTCTTACGATTTGACATCTCTTCTTGTTTCTCTGGTTTAATTATTGCATTTAAATTAAATACTTTCTAAAACAAAATAATTCATTTCATATAACAGAAAAAACTTATTCAATATATTTTGTTTTACTAATCGATATTTTAATGAACATTCATTTTTTCTTGTCCATCGTACGAAATTTGTTAGTCGAAAGAAATAAACTTGACCTAAAAAAAAAAAACCATTATCTTTATTAAGAACAAAAAAAAATTTTTTCTCTTTTCTATACCGGTCGAATCACAAAGTAAAATCGAATCAAGCCATGGAGAATAATCTACACTTAAAACATGATCAGGTGTTGATTGAAAATAAATATGTTTTGGAAGATTATTTGTTTCAGGTTCATATGTCAGATAAGCACTTGTTCGAGCATATGATCTTAAATGAATAAAAGAATTAACAAAATCAAATTATATTTCTTGGTCGTGTTTTTTTTTCTTAAACATACGGTGTAAATTCTTTTACACATAAAAGATCACCAGTTAATGATCTTATAACGGATTCTGTACCACTATTTTCAATATCGATTAAATGTTGATAATGATCATCGAAATCCCATACACTAAAAAATAAACAAAAGATGAAGATAAATTTTTGAAAAACAAAAATTCAATTTTTATACGAAAATCGTTTTGCAATATTTGCAATAGTTAAAACAAGATTTGATGAATCATTTAAAAATTTAATATCACGAATTGGTGTATAGGAAATTCGAAAAAATCGAATAGGAAATATAATTTTTTCTTGATTTGACTTCTAAATATTCAAAAAAAAAGAAATGAATTGATAACTTATACATATATATTGATTGTCTTTTTTTTTCTTTACTATTTCAATTAAATATTTTGCTTCTGTATTAACATGAAAAAGAGCAATAAAACCACTACTATAACAAGCAGCAATACGATTTGGATCATGTTTTGACCAATCAATTGATAAACATTGTGTATGATTATTTGGTTCATTAAGCGATAATCGAATTGATTTTGTTGATTTATAAAACAATAAAGTTTTATTTGATGATTCATATGATAATGTCAATGGATGAGAAAATATTTTATATAAATAAATTGAACCTGAACTTGTACCAGCAGCTAAATAAGCTGATGGTAATGAACATGATGGTGACCATTTTAATGTCCATATAGAACCACTATCATTAATTGTTATTAAACAAATAAGTTGATGTTCTTTTGGTGATAAACTTGTTTTCATATTTGATAAATCAAACATCCATATTTGAATATAATTTTTATATGAATATATTTCGTCATAAAAATGTTTTGATACTAATGATGAACGTGAACAACTTACAGCTAAATATTGATGTGTTATAGGACATTGTGTTGTTGGCATTGAAAGCCAATCAAGAGATTGAATTGGACCAATACCAACATTTAATGTAAATGCATTATTTTTATGCACAGTAGATTCAAATGGTTGAAGAAATAAAGGACTATCATCCGTCTATATATAAGAAATAAAATAATATAGATTTCATTCAACTCTCGAGGACTGGAGACGGAAATATATATATATATATCCAGTTTCTAATAAACTCATAATTAATTTGCGCATAGTTCTATGATGCTGTTATGATCTGCAGTAGCAAATAGGCTGTCAATGTACTACACTATCATCCGTGTTGTAAGGGTGTAAGTGCAGCTGAAGAAGAAAACCTACATTCACTAGAGTTCGGTGATTTCAAAAAGAACTAACGACAAAACATATCTAACTGTCGGATTGCTTTCGAGTCAAGAATAGGCGCATCTTTTAGAGCTCAATGAACTATGTCCACCCTGAAAAGTATTCGTGTCCATGGCCTGCCTTTGACGAGATTGAGAATTTGTAGTTTTACAGCTAGATATGTTGACGATATCTCAACTATATTGTATTCAAAGCTCTACAATCGTCGAAGATTTCATCAACATTGGAGATTATTTTGATACAATATAGTTGAAATATTGTCTATATCATCAGTTGTAAAACTACAAATACTCAATCTCCTGAGAAATAGGCCATGGGCACGAACTCTTTTCAGGATGAACATAGCTCACTGTTAACAGGGGATTCGATCAAACCAATCGATTAAAAGATTTCTCTTTTCTTATTTTTCCAAAAGCATTCACTATATATAATAACGAACTAGTTGAAAGAAAAACATGAACTAGATAGAAATTATCTTAAAAAACATCAAGAAAGATAACGTTATGGAAAATATCTGAATATGAAGAAAGGAAAAGAACAGAAGAAAAAAAAATACATTTATGTATATATGTATAGCAGAACAGAAACGAAAGAAAAAAAGAAAAATATCATATATAACTGATACACCCTATAACACCTCTCCCATTCGGCAAGATGATCGTCTCGATCATCAAAGTAACAGTTATATAAAATAGAAAAAAGAGAGAAAAAAACTGAAACGAAAACACTTCCTGAGCTCTAAAAGATGTACCTATTCTTGGCTCGAAAGCAATCCGACAATTGGATATGTTTTCCCATAAGATCGAGAACCGAACCAGAACCGTTAAACCATGAAATAGATACAACAATTCTTAACCCTATGTCGAGAAACCTTCGTTTTGTCATTCTTGAGATAAAATATATCAGTGTAATCAAAAATCCAGTAAATCGATCATAACTTTGCAACGGAGTTCCATGATGATGAATCCTTTTAAAGTTTTGCTAGTCTCATTAAGACTTGTCTATGGATCTAACATGAGTTCAAATGACGGTGTCGCTTGGGATAGTCCCCTCGTTAGTGATTTTATTAATATCAAAATTTAAATTTTTCTTGCAACAATTATCTTAAGAAACTATCTAAAAGGTGTCTTTAGGACTTGTATTTGGAAGAGAGTGACGATCGTCGAACTACTGTGTTACTAGATTGATCACTACAGCAATCTTATGTTTTATATCGTGTGTAGACTCAACAGTTACGAAGTCATAAATAAGATTCTTCTTATATTTTCTACCCTTTTCATATTAATAAGGAATAATTGTATTTGTTCTTATCTTAGAAAATCTCTAAGGACAATAACCTAAAATCAATCGAATTCAACATCTATGTCAATACATAAAGTGTATTTTGTTCTACATACATTTTGAGAAAGTTGAATACGATATGTATCAAGTAAAACTTGTTCTGCCATTTTTGTATCTTTAATAAATTCAATTTGATTTTCATTATCAA